TATGACCAGAAAGGCAAATGCAGTAGAGTAGTGAGTGCTGAAACATCTTCATTAATATATGCACAGAGTTTAAATCTAATCACTTTAAATATATATATATATATATTTATATATACACATACGTACACACACACACACAATTTTTTTCTTGGTTTTCATATGGTTCCACAGTTTTGCTAAAGACAACTGCAGGCTCAGTAGGGTTCATTCTTTTACTCAGCAAAACAAAATGAAATGCTGCTCAGAGATCTTCCAGATGAAATCCTTAAGGGTTTTGAAAAATCAGAACTGTCTTTTTAGTGCATCCGTTTATGCCCTCAGCATCTATCGTACTTATGACATTTAAATACTTTTTTCTACAAAACATTTTAAAACTGACAGAGACACGGGATCAGTATTTCCACATCTAGCTGAATATAATCATAGAATCACAGAATCATTTGAGTTGGAAGGGACCATTAATTAAAGGTCATCTAATCCAACTGCCTGCAATGAGTCCAAATTCTCTGCAGCAAAGTGATGCAGTGAGATAAGTATGTAAATGAATTAAGTATGTAAATGAATTAATGTAATAATCTGATATATATACATATGTAATACATCGAATAGCATTTCATAGACACTACACAATACATGATTCTAACATGAGAACAAATGGAATTAGGAGGGAAAAAAACACAAATGGAAGCAGGTTGATCATTCTTTTGAAGCATGTAGCTATATAGGAAAAAAAAAAACCAACAAATTCCATGCTTTACTGCCAACCGTAAAACATGAAAAAATGATATTTTCAAGTCCAAAGCTCTGCCTAATTTCTTAGGATATTTCTTAGGATATTCAGGTACGCTCATCTCTGGCATTAGTCCTTGGTTTGTGATCAAACATCTAAGGGAAAACATAAGCTCAAGTCCTGCTTCAGAAATTTCTCTTGTGTAAGCATTCTGCTTTTTTCAAGTCATCTGCTGAACATGGCGACTGTGATATGGCTGTTGTGTTTTGCAGCAGTGTGGTTTTAATTATGGAATTAAAAACAAAAAAACAATGAAGACTACTAAACTACACAACTCCACTTTCAACTGAAAAAGCTCCTAGAACAGAACTCACTGGAGATGAGAGCACTCCGGGTAACATTTTAACTCTGCTCTCCCTAAATGCTGACTCTCAACTGTTTTAGTCCACATGGACATTGGACCGCGTGCCACAGAGTACATCTTCCTCACTTTGTAGGTTATGTTTGCTTCCTGAGGTGCTCTGAACGCCACTGTCTTAATGACTGAAGGCTGAGAACTCAAACTTTTCAACAAAGTGCTTACTAGGTGCTTTAGACTTTATCTAACTCATTAGGCTTTTATTTCTTTGTGTGTCTACCAGGCACTCCCTTTTACCCTTATTTACACAGTATCTCTTCCTTGTTTTGCATAGAAAGGGCGCTGACATCTCTCCTCTCATCAGCGTAAGTGCATAACCCACGGGAGAGCACTCACAAAGACCAGGCAAACTAACAGCACCGCCTTCTTCGTGCATTACCTTTGAAGCTGGCATGAACCACAGCAGAGCCAGAGACCAGCCTGAGAGCCTCACAGAGCACGAAGGACCCCGTGGCGAGCGTAACCCCCCTCCTCAGGCTTTTTTTAAGCACCTGCCGGGGATCACAAGGCGAACGTTAATAAACACCGTAACTCTGAGTTAAATCTTTTCTCTTGCGATGGTTCCAAAGGAGCACGAAGGCTCCAACTTCCAGAGAAACAACCCTCTGCACCGCCTCCCGCCGCTGCGGACAGCCCAGCACAGCGGGCCCGCACAGCCGCCGCCCGGTACCTCGCTCCCGCCGAGCCCCCGCCAGCCCCGCGCCGCCTCCTTCAGGAGCGGCCCAAGGAGCGGCCCCAGGCGGGCGGGGCGGAGGCGAAGGGGCTGCGCCAGCGCCGCCACGACAGCGGCCATCGCCCGGAGCCGGCCGCCGGGGGAGGAGAAGATGCGATCGAGCGAGCAGGGCCAGCGCTCAGCGCGAAGCCGCGCATGCTCTCCTCAGTGCCCCGGGGCGGGGCGGGGCGGAGCGGGGCGGTCCCGTCGCTTTCGGTGCGGGCGTGGCCACAGCTGCCGCGGGGTGAGGGTCCGCACAGCGCTACGCCGGCCCCGAACCGGCCGCGCAGGTGAGCGAAGGGCTCTGGTGCAGGGGAGGCGGCGGCGGCTGTTCCGCGGGAGGCCAGATCGGGCGCTGTCTGCGTGGAGCCCGGAGCCCGCCCGGCGTGGGACTCGCTTCGCCTCCGGCCCGGGCGGTGCTTGGCAGCGGGGTAGGGCCGGGGCACCCCGCTCGCTGCAGGCCAGGGGAGCGCTGAGCGCCGGCTGTGGCCGAGCGGCCGCGGTGCGCGCCTTCCTGTTGGGACGCGGCTCGGCGGAAGCAGCAGCGAGCGGCACCCCTGGGCGAGGCTGTGCCCCGGGATCCGGGAGCTCCGCGTGCCCGTGCGTGAACGAGGCCCGGGGGCCTCTTCCTAAGGCTGCTTTATCGGCGCCTCCGGGTTCAGAGAGGAGCTTGGCAACGTTGTCATCTTTCCTTAAACAAACAAGATCTGTTGCATACGGAGCTGTTCTAACAGTGTTGTCTGTTTTTTTCCTTTTGCCGTTGCGTGTTATTGGCTAGGGTAGTGTTAAAACATGAGAGCTCTCCGCTTCTTCTGTAGGCACATATTCAAAGTGTGAAAACAGTCCTTCAGCACTGCTCCCTACATTCGTTTCTTGGGCATTTCATGGCTCCAGAAGTTCAAGTTAAAGAAATTCCAACGATGGTACAAAAAGAGTGTGTGAAAACAGCAGTATTTAGAGTCAAGCTAAGCCCTAGGTGGGGTTTCTTTCCACTTGAGTTTTTAAGTATTAACTTACATTTTATATAGCTATTTTTTTTTACATTATGCATATAGATCCACCTACCTATACAGCGGGAGAGGTGAGATTTGTTTCAGAGAGCAGGCAGAACCACTGTGCTAGTGGTACTCATTAGAAGCAGAAAAAATAAGCAAGAAAGATGTGCAGAGAAGTGAGAACCAGACCCAAGTCCTTGTTTTTCTGTTTTGATCTTAGGGAGAACTCAGAGTTGTTTTTTTTTTTTTCTCTCTGTGTGTTATGTATAACAGAATTAATGCTGCAGGGAAGCAAGCTATTGTAACTGCACAGGTGTGATGAAGATCCATTTCTGGGGGGTAGATGTGGGGTAATTTGGCTAATTCTTAAAATCTCATCTCTGCAGGGGGATCAGCTTAATGTTATTACCTGGGGTGGAGTTTTGTCTCTGTTCTGATTTAGAGTAAGGTAAATGCTGTCATTGGTTTGGTATCCTTTAAGAAATACCTGTTATTTAGTGAAAAATGAAATGGTAACTTCTTCTCAGGTGTTTGGGTGACTCTGCTCAACAATCAAAAGACTTCTGAAGGATTTTTATTTTGGGTCTGGCTTGCTGTGTCAGAATTTCTGTTAAAGAAATTGTCTTGATGATTTGGATCAGACTTTCTTCTATGATTGAAGGGTTATTTCCTATAGATCCTCCTTATGTTGCATCTGGATCCTGATGCGTGTGTTGACTCACTATTCTATCCAAGGCACAATCAGAATCATAGAATCACAGAATGGCCTGGGTTGAAAAGGACCACAATGACCATCTAGTTTCAACCCCCCTGCTATGTGCAGGGTCGCCAACCACCAGACCAGGCTGCCAGAGCCACATCCAGCCTGGCCTTGAATGCCTCCAGGGATGGGGCATCCACAGCCTCCTTGGGCAACCTGTTCCAGTGCGTCACCACCTTTGAGCCGGATGAATGAGTTCTCATTAGGTGATAGTGGCAACTCCTGGATTTTTTCACACCCAGGAGAGTTATCAGCAAGCCCACGCAGTAGGTGAGCAGTGCGTGGGCACTCACCCAATGGCTCCAGGGATCGTGTGTGTGTGTTCAGAGCCACCGTGTGCATTGCCTCCCAGGAGCAATAAATGCTGAGTGTACGTAGTTGGTATTAGAGAGAATGGAATGGCAGCTGACTGGAGAAAGGCTGCTTGACTACAGGAGGGTTTGCACGATGTCTATGCTGTAGTAAAGTATAATTCTCCAGCTAGCAGCTGGAAGCTAGTATTATTGTTTGCATGGAGATGTTGGACTTCTCCAGCCTGTCTCTCTGTATGGTGTTTTGATTGTTTTTTCCTAGAGAACATTTAGCAGTTCTGGAAAGCACAGGTTTGGTGAAAGCCCAGCTCTGAGCTTACAGGCCACTGATTCCACTTAATTTAAAACACTGTCATCATATTGGGAGAGAAAAGCATTCAATAAATGGGGCCAAAAAGACAGCTACATAATTATTCTTAAAATCTTTAAGGACTGGCTGGTTGTTTTTTATTACTTAATTGGACTGTTTGTGTTTTGTTTGTTTGTTTTTCCTGTAACAAAGGCTGTTGCCTCCTATTAATAATCTTTACAGTGATGTTGTTGTGGGCAGGTTACTCATTTTAAGAGGAACTGAAGTGTCTCAGACACATGCATTTGAATCTGTTATGTTGATACGCAGGAAGAGCAACTCTTTGGTTTAATTTCCCTTCATTTCACACTTCAATGCTTCTTCTGAAGCTGTAGCTGTCTGCTGAGAAGCTGACAGGCAGACTTCTGAGCTAAGTCACCATAAATCCATTTTTAAGAATTGATATCTACTAACTGAAATGCAGTCACAACATGCTAGGCTTGAAATTGAGTCTGAGAAGGGTTAATCTAAAACATGGGGTTGCTGATACTTTGTTTCCACAATAAAATAAAGTCAGTTTTGATGAGATACAAGTTTTTCTTCTAGTATTTGTTATCTGAAGTCCATCAGTGGCTCTACACCTAGAAACTGAATAAAGAATGCATAATTTTAGATGTTTGTGTTGTATAAGTTATTGTTTTCAATGAAGTATAAAAGTATTCTGATCAAATATATGCAAGAAATAGATTTTCCTCTGCTTGAGTGCTCTCTTTGTTAAAGCAAAAAAATGTACTTATCTTTTTGAAGTCAGGAGGTCTGTGTTTCTTAATTTTCTGCCTTTTATAGACTAGCTGACTCGGATCAAAACATCTCCCAAATTTCATAGGAAAAGCTTTTGTGTGAGGAGGGTGCTGTGAAGAGCCCTCACCTGTACAAATACACCTGAAGGATGAATGCAGGATAAAAAGGATTGACAGAAGGGTAATTCAAAATGACCATTTATGAGTCATTATGCAAACAGGAGATGCAATAGTTTCTGGTCTTTGCAAAGCATTTTTTTTTTATTTGGAAAAAACAACTTAATGATAGATTTTTATGTATAGGAGCTACCTATTAATAGTTGCCTGACTTGTTACACCAGCGTGCTGCCAATTCAGCAGATAAATATTTAAGCTGCCTGATGAAGCTTGTATAAATAGATGATTCATTGCCCATAGAGCAAACAATGTGTCACTCATATGCCTCAGATTTCTTGAAAAGTAGCTTCTATATTTTCCTCTGCATAATCCCCAATAAAATGTGTGGTGTGGTCATTATGGTTTTATCAGCACAATCTCATGTGTTCAATTAAGAACAATAATGTTCCTTCCTGCATATTAAGTAGTGAATGTCAGAAGAAGGAACTTGTGTTTGGGGTTTTGTGTGACTCTTAGAATAGATACAGGATGATTCAGATTGATGCATACTGGTTTGATATGCTTATATTACTCAGCTTTTCACTGCATCAGCTACTGCAACATGGTTTTATCAGCTGTGTTGTGATTGTAAAGAGAGAAGAAAAATGGGCAGTTTCTGCATTTGTCACAGTCTCGCTGTCAGCTTATTGCAGCTGTTGTGGCATTTTATGGGAATAAAATTCTTATTCTGTGTTCTTTACCTGTGCAACAATGATGAAAAAAATGCTGAAGGATCACACAGAGTGTCCTTTTGTCTTGTTAAAGTTAGGTGTTTCTGCTTATCAGATTGGGAAGCACCTGCTTTTAGGAACACACCACTGCTCTTTCATGAAAGCATTGTTTGGGCAAGTCTCAACTCTCCTTTGGTATTGCAGCGTTGACATGATTGCTGCAGTCTGGCAGTTCCTAAGTGCTCTAATAGATGAGTCCAGTAACTACAAGACAAGACTAGTCCATGACTTAGAGTTTTGCTTTCATTATGGCAGCTCAGGAAAGAAGATGTGTAATGTATTTAGTTGATCTAATCATGTTCTTGGTTTGCCTATGCCTGTTGTAGGGTCGGGAATAAAATCTCCCCTGTGACATGTGAATTTGTGTTGTTGGAGTTCAGAATCTGCATGTTGCAAGCTCCACTGTATTGTTTACTGGTTTGGTCTTCCCTTATCCAGAATTTCCTGGGTTTAGGAGCCTGTCTTGTGGTTTGACCTGGCACGTAGCTGAATGCCTCACAGACTTTTGCTTGCTTCCATTCCTCCCAGTGGGATGAGGGGGAAGAGAGTGAAGGAGGGGAGGGGGAAGTTCAGAAAGTAGAACTCTTAGGTTGAGATAAAATTATTTGCTAGGATCAAAAAGGAAGAAAGAAATAACAATAATGATAATGTATGTATTTATGAAACAAGTGAGGCTCAAAGTAATTGCTCACCACCCTGGCTGATGCCCAGCCACTACACAAGTGGTGGCTGCCTCCCTCAGCCATCTGCACTCAGTTTTATAGTTTTCCACATAATGTGAATCCCATATGGCATGTCATATCCCTTTGGCCAGATTAGGTCAGCTATCCTGATTCTGTCCCCTTCCAGCTCCTTGTGCCCCCCTCACTGGCACGACAGTATGAGAAGTTGAAAACTGAAACATCCTTGGCTCTGTACAGCACTGCTCAGCAACAACTGAAACACTGGTGTGTTATCAACCTTATTTTTTTCTGAAAGTCAAAGCATAGCATTCTGAAGGCATTCAAGGCCAGGTTGGATGTGGCTCTGGGCAGCCTGGTCTAATCATTGGTGATCCTGCATATAGCAGGGGGGTTGAAACTCAATGGTCGTTGTGGCCCTTTTCAACCCAAGCTATTCTATGATTCTATGATAGCAGACACTATGAAAAAACGCATCTCTGTTATGCTTTTGCTGCTAAAAAAATCTATTTCAGAAGAAAGGACTATTTGATTTCATCCCTGTCGTCTGGCCACATCCCAGTGTGCTACCAGGCATACCCTATCTGCAAGACAAACAGCCAACAGATAGAGAAAGGCAGAGGTTTGGGTTGTATTTGGCCAACAGGGAGGATGTTTTCTTTCGTAATAACAGCTAATTGAATAAATATGTCTCATGTTATGTAACTTACTGTCAGCTCATTCTGCAGGATCCCAAACAGTATTATCTGTCTGTGTGAAGTTATTCCAGAATCCTAAATCTGCAATAATCCTGTCACGCGTCTGGAGTATTTTGCATCTGGCTTGCCTAGTAGACCTTAGTGTGTTGTGGAATGGTGTTTCAAGCTATTAGTGCAGCTGTGATTCCTTATTTCTGCCATCCTGAAGAGACTGCAGTTTGCCAGGCTCTGTGTTCTATCAAGTTTTTAAAGGCAGAGCACTTATCTGACAGCAAGGTTTTGATGAAGGTTTTGTTTTTTATTTTTTTTCTGTATTAAGGGATGCTCTTTTGCTAAATCTGTTTTGTTCCCATATTAGATACTTAGTGGAGGAACTCAGTGCTGTGTGGAAGAAGAGTGCACCTCACAAAATTGAAGTATTCATTTGAGAATATACTCATGGTGTTAGAACTGAGGCATACACACTCAGGCTGAGTAGAAAAAGTTGACCAGATTTTTAGGCTGAGTGCTGTCCTATTATGAGTGATTATGGAAACATTACCCAAGACTTGAGAATTATGCCTCAGTCCAAGTTTGAATTCTGTTGCATTTCCTGAAAGCTTTTCTACTATCTGTGGCAGCATCAGTGGCTGTTGGAGCATCATTTTGTCAGCCAAGGTGGTTTTTCTGGAGGCAACCATCAAGGAGTCATGCTCTGCTGTGCACTGACTGGCAAAGCCACTAACTGGTAATGAGCTCTGTCCGGCTGCCAGGAAAGCAGTAGGAATGGAAAATAACAGTAGAAAAAGAAGCAGAATGCTTTTTAAAGGTATGCTTTCTAAGCCTAGGAACCATAACTTTAGATGCTTATATGCTTGCAATCTGGTGCTTGACTTTTTTCCATCAAGGACTGCGGCTGGAACTTGGTAAAATTTTGGGAGTGAAAGGATGGAACTGTGTTTAGGTGTTTGGGAGGTGCAGGACGATTTCTGTAAATCTGATGTTCTTTTTGGAAATAATGTATGTGTATGGATGTTTCAGTAGTACTTTTGCAAGTTCTTTGTGTTTAGTTTTGTTGTTTGTTGGTTCTTAAAGAGTCCATCTCCAAGGTAGCAATGTGGGGATGGAGAAGCCGTGTAAGAACTGTGCTCTCATGGAATAGAAGAAGCCTCAGGAAAACTCTCTACAGTGTTTTGTTTTTTTTTTTTCTTCTGTGTTCAGTTCATTGTTCCTCTTTTCCATCTTCATTTCCCTTTTTGGCTCTTAAAAAAAGAAGTTTATTTGCATTAGAAGCAATATAAGCGCAGTGAAAGGAAAAGAGATGTTAAATAGAGTTTCAGTTTCAAGTGCACTGTAATGTATATAGTGCAAGTGAACTTGTTAGGGAGAAGCAAATGCTGTGCCTTCCTTCTTGTCTCATGCTTTTTCAAAGTAAGTTAATGCAGTTGGATATTGTGCCTGGGCTGTGGACTTCCAAAACTGTCTTTGCTCTAGTTTCCCTGTCTTTATAGGGATTTCCAAGGCAAGTTGCTAGTGGGAAGATGTGGAAGTTTTAGTCTGAGGTAGAGCTCACCTGCCAAGGAAAGGAGACATTGGAAATAGGCAACTGTATTCCTGAAAAGTAAAATTAAGAGTCTCATAGAAAATACCTGTTGCTCAGACCCGGTTTGACATGCAAATGCTTGTTTTCCCCATTGGTCTTCATTGTTTCTTAATGTTTGTAAATACTTGCTGGTATATTTTTGCAGTTCCAGTAGAAGATAATTGACACTTCAGAGGAAATGTGAGAAAGCTATCAGATTGTCTGGTTTTTGTTCGTTTCTTTCTTTTTTAAATGAATTTCCAGGAAGAATTTTTGGCTGTTACTGGACTTCAAAGTTGCTCACCCCTATTATTAAAATTACTGTTGTTATTAAAGATTTACTGGGGCAAAAATCACCTAGTCTTCTTCCCCACCTAACTCTTTTCCTAATCCTGCTGTGCTTATTAGTTCAGCATTTTGTTAAAAAGGTTTGATGAGGGAGTATTTAATATTACTTTTTTCTAATTCATTGCGTTGTTATTGACATCTACATCCTGAGTTGCTGGAATTCATGTGGGTTTTATCCACATGAATGTGGATGAAATGTAAAGTTTGTTAAGTTTTATTGTTGGCAGTCAGGCCACTGTGCCTTCTTTGTGGTATTTCCCCTTTTGCATTTTGTTCCTCAAGCATTCTAAGACACTCAATCTTGTTTCATATTTGCAGACTTTGAAGTTTTATCCATATGGCAAAGCCAAGAATATGATGCTTCAATGCTGGTATATCATAAATCTCTAAAATGGCATTTAGAGCCTTGAATTTCACTCCTGATAAGCTAATGATTCTAATGATCAGTCAAATAATTTATTCACAGTGACAATCCCTTTTTTTTTTTTGCTTTTTAATCCATTTTTAAAATAAGTTTGTTGTTGCTTTCTAGCTTAAGAAATGGCAGCACAGTGTGTGACTAAGGTGGAGCTGAGTATTGCCTGCACAAATCTTTTGGATAAGGATGTTGGTTCCAAGTCAGACCCGCTGTGTGTTCTTCTCCAGAGTATGAGTGGTCATCAGTGGTATGAGGTACGGTGTGATGTTCGCTTGAATCTGTTAGAAATATGGTCTAGCTTGTTGGACCTCTTAACTGGATGGGAGCATAATGCTAATTATTGTTTCCAATAAATACATAGACCTGGCATACACTAGCCAAGACATACAGGACTTTTCTGAGTGTATAAAAGTACTTCTAGAAATGAAGTACTCCCAAACTATGATCACGTAGTCATTTGATAGTCTGTTATTTTTATGTTGATCATGCTGTGCAGGAAAGATGCTCATTATGGGAAGCAAAGGAAAACAAGACTGCAGGTAACAAAGCAGTGGATTTTGTGGCTAGTTGCATTTGATAAAAGGTTCGTAGGAAGATATGTCCTTATATTAACAGGAACTTCTGACAACCTTTCATAATGTGTTATATGTCTGTAGTTTGTTCATGAAATTCTAAGTGATATCTTTCCAACTGCAGGTTGATCGCACAGAAAGAATTAAGAATTCCTTGAACCCTAAATTTTCGAAGAAATTTCTAGTTGATTACTATTTTGAGCTTGTTCAGAAACTTAAATTTGGAATATATGATATTGATAACAAAACCATTGAACTGGCTGATGATGACTTTCTAGGAGAATTTGAATGTACACTGGGACAAGTAAGTATGCAGATTTCCCTTAAAACTAAGAAAATAAAAGTAAATGCAAATCATTTAGCACTTTTACCTTAACTTTATCACAATGTTCACGTGTATGTGGAGAAGTCCCAAATAGGTTTCCATATTGTTTTTCAAATCTCAGTTCAGTTTATAATTTTTTTTGCAATAGCTCTTCAGATATACTGCCTTAAAATTTGCTTTAAAATGATGACTGTCCAGATTGTTGTTCTGAAAGTAAGTGGAATATCAATAAGCACAAAGTAATAAGTGCTATTTATTTACTTAGACTAAAACTCAAATTATTTTTTTATACACTTTGTAAACAACAACACTGGTGTGTAGCAACATATGAGTGTTCATAAAGGCCACATTAATGTTGGTAATTTGCTTTTCACTCAAGGCAGGCAATGATTCTGTTTCTACTTTGAACTGTAAATAGATTTCACTCTCATTTCCCTGCCAGCTTACACTATTGGTTCTATTGCACTTGAGCAGCTTTGTTATCTTAAAAGATGTCCCTAAAGCATCCTTTGAAGGCATTTCTTCTCAGGAGAGTCTTCTTGGGATTTCCCTCCCTGCCAGCATTGCGAAATGAAGTTCGTTAATAATTCATTCTTAAAGAAATGCCTTTAGGACTAATAGATGTGCTTAGAAATGGTTGCTTGGAAAGTGTAAAATAGCCATCTAGAAACACTGTTGAGAGAGAGGTGACATTTGTTTGCATGTTTGTATTGTTTTCATGAATCTGTTTACTGAAGATGTTTGTGAAAAGTGACTCATGGTTGAACAGTAGTGTGTGGAAACTCTGAGAACAGTTTGAGAATGGAATGTAAGAAATTTTTATCCAGTGTTACTGCATTGCATTTTATTTCAGTTTTATCTGAAACTCCATGTGTGTTTGGCTGCACTAGTATCTTTGACTTCTGAAGTATACCAAGACCTATAGGAAACCACGGGAAATAAATACAGTGCTGTTGTCATGTTCACGATAAAGGAAAGGCTCTTAAAATGAAAATACATCACTGTCTTATTTCATTTATTTGGAAATCTGTTTAATTGCTTTAACAGTGCTTGATACTCAAATTTCATCTTGGCAGATAGTTTCTAGCAAGACCCTAACAAAACCATTAGTACTTAGAAATGGCAGACCTGCTGGAAAAGGAAGTATTACGGTAAGACAATAGCATTCTTCAGCATTTATCCTTAAATATTGTTTTGTTGCATTTATGCAGAGTCTTGAGCACAGTATATCCCATCTACAGTGCAATGAATAATGTCATATACTTGTTTTTTTTTCTCTACAAATATTTCTTTGTCATCCAAAGGGAGAGTTGCTCAATTTCTGACTCATTGCATCTATCCAAATAATTACATTTGGCAGTATCTTCAATGTAGTGTCATTGCTTTAGTGGATCCCAGTGTCAAACTAAATTGTTGCTCCTCCCGCCCCAGTTTTTTTTACTTGTTTCTTTCTGAGCAAACGTGACTTTTAAAATGAAATTCTTTTAGGAGTATTGTGAACAGATTAAGAAAATTATCGTTTCTGGATACAAAATAATTACTTTTTGCTTATCTAGATTACAGCAGAAGAAGTAAAGGATAACAGAGTTGTCTTATTTGAAGTAGAAGCAAGGAAATTGGACAATAAGGTATTTAAGTGATTGCTGTTCTATTGATAAAGCAGTAAAATCAAAATGTTGTCAAAAGACAAAACAAAATGTTCAGTCTTATTTTTTGCTCAATTGATTATATCAACTAAGATTTTTGCTTACAGTAAAAAAAGAAATTGAAGGAAGACAGCTTCAGAGCAACTTCACTGCACGTGTTCAAATGAATGATAATTTTTCTAAATTTAATGAGTGTGTTGTAGGGATATTTTGTGGACAGCACTCCTCTATTTGAATGGGTGGTGTTATGCTTGATTATGTAGGTTAGGGAGTTTTGGTATATCCATTGGCTTGAATATTTATATAACTGATTACCAGTTAGTGCTCTAAAAAATATTAGAAAGTTCAGTTAGAGTGTATAAATCTGTTAAATGTTTTGGTGCTTGTAAAGTGCTTGTGTTTAGAAAAAAAAAAAAAAAAAGAAGAAAATTAAACAAAATTTTATTGTAATTTTAATAACAGAAAAAGTATTATCAGTTTTCTTGGCTGATTTATGATTTTTTTTTTTTTTAATTAGATCAAAGCTTTACTTACTATGTATCCTAATGGTTATTCCTCTATGTATTCGTTTGCTTGAACTGTTGGGTGTGTAGTATGTAGTCATAGCAGAACTTTATCTTAAAGTGAAATTCTGTCTTTCAGAAGAGGTAATGTAACCAAAATGACATTTCTTCATATGAAGTGTTTGTTCCCTGAATATTTACTTTACTTTTTTTTTTTACCTTAAGTGTTTTTTAAGTGGCATTTAATGGTGTTTATGCCACAGGCTGTTCTGGGATAATTATGTGTTCTTCAAATACAGGATTTTTTTGGAAAGTCAGATCCTTATCTGGAATTCCACAAGCAGACTGCAGATGGAAACTGGGTGATGGTTCACAGAACAGAGGTAGGATATTTTTGCTAGCAACCTAGAGTTGATTTTCTTTGATTTTCAGTGTGTCATACTGCATTACAACCAGAAGAGTATGACCCAGTAGTTCACATGTGGTTTTGTTGGAAGTCATTTCATCTGTTCCACTGATTTCTCAGAGGACAGAAAGTTTACCTTAATTTAGACCTGTTTTATGCCATCTATTTTTTTAGAACTTTCTGTAATTTAGAAGACAAGACTGTATATAGTTCCTTTTCAAAACATTTAAGTGCTACTCTAAATGTAGAATTTGGACATGCGAATGTGCTGCTCTTTCATGTCACTGTCGCTTAGCTGGATTAGCTTACTAATTAAAGGAATTATACTGAATGCTTGCATAGCAAGGGCATGTCAAGGATAATGTGTAGTTTGAGAAAATGTAAGCAGCAGCAGCCTTCTGGCTGGGAGGGGCAGAGGTTCCATGGCAGTGACTGACAGGGTAGGAATAGGTTCAGAATGTCTCACTCTACTGTAAGCTGAGGCCCTAGTCAAAAGCTAGGTAGTGTGCACATTGATAGGGGTGTGACCATATTTGTGTGAGACAGATGTTGAATTATGAGTTCTTTTGTATGAGGCTTATAAAACCAGTTTCTCTCACAAGGCCATTCTTCTGCATAAAAAGTATATTTTCCACAAGGATTTCAGTCATCTTTAGTTTAAATAATGAATCCAGAATTTGCTGTTCTGGGCTGCAATTGATTGAAAGACTATTTCTGTATGGTACAGATCTTGAAAATCTTTTTGTGTTAATTTACACATGTTCATTTATTTGTATTATTTATTATGTTGATTTTCAAAATAAGTATCTGTACCTCTAAATATCAGCAATGCTGGAAATGTAAATATTAAGTATTAATTAAGGTATTAAGTATTTCTTGTTTGTTATGAGTTTTTTTTGTTTTGTTTTGTTTTCTTTTGCTTTATAAAATCATTATTACTTGTATCTGGACAGTTTTTGGTTGACAAATTCTGAAGAACTTCCAGTGGTGTTCCTAAACATCACTTGATTAGATTTAAGCTTGAGAGACCATGTGCAGTAAGGTGTCCTTTTGTCCTCAAGCTCTGTTATTGCTCATATTTCTGTAAGTAGCATTTCAGAATAAACACTGGCTGGAGTGAAAAGTAATCTCCAGGGCACTGCTGTCTTCAGAAATGTAATAATTTTCCACATTTTCCTTGGTATGTTGTGTTTGTGTGCATGTTGTTTGTATTAAAAAAAAAAAAAAGGGGGGGGGGGGAAATTTTAAAGTAATAATGTCATTATATATTTAAGTATAAAGAAATGTAAGATTTTGCAGTGTACTTGAATTGGATAGTAGGTCACAGTGCAGTCTAGAAAATAGAGTCGAAAAGATCCCATCTCTGTTAGGCAATGATGCTGCATTTTAAGAATGTTTTATTTATTTATATCCTATACATTAGGATTTGAATTTCAGGAAGTTATTGACAGCAGCATTAGTCAACAGTCTTGTTTACAATAATCATTGTATGAAGATATGACCAATTGTAGATGACTCCTTTTCACTCTTGAGAACTATACTCATCTGGCTTTTTTTCTTCCAGGTTATTAAAAACAACTTGAATCCTGTTTGGAGGCCCTTTAAAATCTCTCTCAATTCTCTGTGCTACAGTGACATGGACAAGCCCATCAAGGTAATGTACAAGAAATATATACATGAATTAATGGGAAATGTGTTCTTCTAGTTACTGTTTCTTTTTATTTGAAAACAAATGGAAGTCTTAGAACTTTTGTTATTTATCAATTTGAAAGTCATTTATGTATAGGCACATTTGAGGGAAGAAAAAAGTAAAATCTCACATCTTGCAATTTCAGACTCATAATTGGTCTTTGATGGTCTGAACCCTAAGTGGCTTTGGAATGACCAAGTCAGCTTGTCACTTCGATTTTTACAGTTATAATGTTTCATCAGCCAATACTGGTGGCGTTAAGATACTGTACAGTGAAAGTTGCATAGTAAAGGTTAGAACATGCTTTATTCTGTGCTATGGTTCATCACTGTAACTGGTGCAATACTAATGCTAACACTAATGAAACTCTTATTTTGCTCCCTGATTAATTCATTGCACTTTTTCTTAATATGCAAGCTGAGATAACCGACCAGGTCGACCAGGTGTATCATCTTGTAGATTCCAGATAAAGCAGCTTTTCTCTTCAGGTGAAACTGAACCTTCTGTCAGAAGGTTAACCAAGCCTATGGAGTCAGTTTTACAAGGACTATCTTTAACTCTGGCATTTCAAGTCTTACCTTGAGTGAACTATGTTTAACTTCTGAGTGTTTTTCTTCAGGAATTTCCATAGTTTAGGATGGAATTGAAGATAAGTAGCCAATCAAAACTTTGTTTATAAGCTAATGTGAACATCATAGGAGCCTGTTATTTTAGCATTTGATAAACAAACAAACAAAAAAACCCAATAACAACAACAAATGAAACCATTGTACTTTCTGTTCTTTGGGGAAAAGCAAATGAGAACATGAACTGCATGTGACTGGTATTAGTACTGTGGCTTGAGGCAGTCCTGGAAAATGCTTAACAGCCACAGAGATGTGGATGTTACAAGCACCTGTATACGTTTAAATACATAGTTATAAAGCAGCCTAATGAACAGTTTCACAAGTGCAGAACCTGAGAACATGCCTCCTTTGCTGCTGCTTTGATTTTTCTTTTCTTGTTTCTTTCTTTTTCCCTTCTCCTTGAAATAGCTGTTTCCTTGAATTGCTTCTGAATATGTTATAAATATGTTTGTTTTTTTCTCCAGTAAACATCTCTGATAAAACTAAGACCACTGATTAAATTAATTCTTTTGGAATCTTACCTCAGAAGTATAGGCTTGTTTCCAGAGGAAATCAATTTTATTTGGAGTTGATACTGACTTGCAAACAGGCAGGGGACTGAATTCCAGCTTCTGGTATGCAGTAACTTAGAAAACCAGGAGCTATCACTTGAAACATTAAAATGCAAACAAAATTGTATCATATTATTGAAGGATTAAATAATGCTTTAACACTTTTATATGTGCACAGTTACGTACATAATGGGCTATTTGTCATAGTAAGTAAAAGTAGTTTTTTCTTAATGAGTTGCTTTTCATCTATTCAATGGCTTGGTTTGTGTATTCCCAGCAATGCACAAACCAAGTTGATTCTTTGTTTTCTGGATTTATTGCTGTGTTCTTTGGAGTGTGTTTGTAGTCAGTGATGCTTTTCTGTGCTGAGAATGTAAGCTGTTGATTTGGAGCATGCATGCCAAGTTCTGCTGGGGAAAATTCTTAAGCAGTTTTTTCATGTGGTTCCTTAATGTTACCATGTGTTCAAGAGAGTATACATGGAATAAAATAAATATTTCTGTCTTGCCTGGATTAAGTTTTGTCAATTGAATGCAATGGATTGAATATATCAAGCAAGACAAACTAATTCCTTAAAAATGAAATAAGTGTTAACAGTGAACAAGTACTATAACTTTTGATTCAAGAAGTGTCTTCAGTTTTCGATTTCAAGTACCAAAGCTCTTGGCTAATTATTTGATTGGCTTACTTATGGCATTCAAAATAGTACACCTAACATTTGCAATGAACATCAGTCTGTTGGTACTGTGGATGCTTACATGAGATTTAAGTTGCTATTGAGTGCATGTGCGTGTTTTTTTTTATTTATTAATGCATACAGAATGTTATAGGGGTAGTGCAAACTGCAACATTGAGGCATGCTTTCCACAGTTTAGAATCTCCACATTGTGTTTTGTGCTTCATTATTATTGTGCATTATTGCTTGTTTTCTGAAAGATAATTTCTCTCAGGAACTCAGACCTGTATGTTCACATTGTTTGGTTTTCATTGTAACACCGAAATGAAGTGGCAATAGAATTGAATTGTTTATCAAATATAGCAAGACTTTTTCAGTGTTGAAAGTATGAAAATAGCTGTGTGGTTTTATATACATATATAGGTTCATACTCTTGAATTTTTTTCTTTTTAAGTATCATTTCAAAATTAAATTTCAAAAATAATTCCTTCTTGGACTCTTGATTTTAATATTTTAATTGGTTTAAATTTATTTTTCTATAATTTGATTAATTGCAGTAAGTTAACTAGCATGTCTGCATGCAAAATTACAGTAAAATATCATAACTGGATGGAACTAGTGTGTGCACTTACATAGATTTTTACTTAATTGGGGAATGTTTGGAGTTTTAGATTTCAAAAATAAAGTCATTATGGTGAAAGTAACAGTGATCAAAAGTATGTTCACGTAAACTAATATATTCTCAAACAGGAAAAAAAAAGTCTGTTTTCTCCTTTTTCTGTCTTGGAGGTGTTGCAAGATGAATTATTTGAATACTGAATCCTTACCATTAAATGCTGAACACAGGCAAGGAGGGGTTTTTAGCTGACATTCAGATCCATGAAGCATGGATCAGAGATGCTTTACATTTTCTAGTATTAGGAAAAAAATAAAGTCCTTTCTACATTTAAAGCTGAACCTTCATATACTTACAAATTCTGAGTTATCTATCAGATTAATGCACTGTTTAAGTATGAATAAAACTATCCTGATAGATAACAATTCAGCAATTTTTCTTTTAAGCTAGATACTCAATGTTAAATTTGCTTGAGACCTGACACTATTTAGCATTCTCAACTCTTCACTTCAATGGAGGATCGGATCTGCAACTGGGTAGTCTGGCTTTTACCCTGTTGAAATCCGTGATCATTAAATGCTTGTATAAACCTAAGTCTGCAACACAAGAAAAAGTCAGTGATGTAAGAGTTCCAGGAATGTTTTGTATGTTCAGGCTTATGTAAAAATACCATTGCATTGTATATTGTTTTTGTAAGCTTACTTCTGTTAATAACAGTGGGTAATGCTTCATTTTAGGTTGAGTGCTATGACTATGATAGTGATGGGTCTCATGATGTCATAGGAAGTTTTCAAACCACGATGTCAAAACTGAAGGAAGCATCTCGGTCCTCACCTGTAAGTCTTACATAGCCTAAACTACTTGTATATTTTTGAGCTGTTCTACTAATTTCAGAACAAAATTTACATCACTTTTTTTTTTTTTTTTTTTTTTTTTTTTTTTTTTTTTTTTTTTTTTTTTTTTTTTTTTTTTGGTACCTGAGTTGTGTTATGCTACAGATGAACAATACTACTGTAGTTGAAGCTGTCTCAGCATTTACACTGTGAATCTGCTTTTCTGGTCCTAATATCTAGGCTAGAGTTGTGTTGTGCTTTTTCTTTTTTCTTTTGACAATAAGTATCTAAGTGCCTAACCATCAACACAAATGAATTTCGTTAATTGTAACTCCCATCTGACTTCCAAAGGTTTAAAAAAAAAAAATAAAAATATGTGAAGTATGACATTTAACAACAGTAATGCATAATTCAGTTGGACATTAGCTCTCCTTTAAAGTGAATTTGCTTTTAATGTTCTGAGTTACAAACCTTTTAATAAACAGTTTCCATTTCAAAAAATGAAAGAAGATATAATAACCATAGCAGTAAACTGTTTGCTTTATTGACGTATATTTTGCCAAAATATTTTACTATCTTCTCCTTTATTCTGAAAATCTTCAGAATCACTCCTGCATTGCCAGTAATAAGATATACTGAGTGCTTGTCTGTACTTTTCTAATATCTTGAGTGTTGTATTTGTACTAAATTCTTCAGAGCTGTTAATGATGAGGAGTCAGTCTTGAGTCTAGATTATTTTTTTTTTTTATTGTTGTTTTGAGCCTTGCTTTTCTTGTTGATATCTGTTCCGGAATTCATTTTGACTAACTACAGGGTTCCATTTAATTCTTCTTCATTTTCTGTGTTATTTGCAGAGAATTCTGGTTTCCTTATATTTTCCTATATATGTTTTCCTTTATTTTCACTGTCTCAGTAATATGGAGTAAAGATGCAAGATAACGCAAATATTATGCAGTATACTTTTTCTTTTGAAAAGAACTAATTTCTAATCTCACATCTTCTGAATCATTTGATAAGATCTGTAAAATATTTCCAGTGTGTGTTGGAATTGGAGTATCTATACTCCCAAGTGTGTTCTTCGGTTCTCACAATCATGGTATTAGCTACATTGGAAGATTTTTTTTTCTTGGAGAAATAAAGAAGAGGCATATAGAATTCTCAGATACTAACCTGGTTAGTGTACCCAGTGCCTTTTTTCACTTGAGATTAATTGCAGGGTGATTTTTTTTTTTTTTTTTTTAATGTAGTTCAATTTAAACCACAGAAGTGGAGCCTGTTTTTCTGACAGCAGGTCGGATGTTATGAAATAGCTCCTCAGACTACTTACGCACCGAATGCATTACATTATGCCAGTAGTGACTGCCATTAACATAGCTAGCTACATATCCCACCTTGTAGTTAAGGTATTAGTTTAGTTTTTGGAAAACTTAAATGTATACCTTATATCTCATTATATAACTGCCTCTGCTGTGGGAGCAGTAGTGATTTGCCTGAATTGCTATGCCTTTGACAGCAGAATCCTCAGAAAATTGTACTGAGTTTCTTCATATAGTTAAAATACAGCTGTCTAAATAAACTTTCTTGCATGCTTTTGATAAGAGAGTTGTCTGTTTTTTGATAGGAGAATAATAGGATTTTTCTTGCTGATATTGGGCCGGCTGTGTTCACTTTCGATAGTGAAACAAAATGCATTTTTAAAACAAATGTATGGGTGCTAGAGGAAAGAAGTTCTGAAAGTGTTGCATAAATAATATTTATAGTACTTCTGTTTTCTTTTGTGTTTGTGCAGGTTGAATTTGAGTGCATCAATGAGAAGAAAAGACAAAAGAAGAAAAACTACAAAAACTCTGGAATTGTGAGCGTTAAGCACTGTGAGGTCAGTAATCTATTCTGGTATTACTTTGTTTTTGATTGTTCAGGCATTACAGCTCTCACCAAGTATACCTCATCCTGAAACTGTAACAAACTTCAAAATCTGTAGAATTGGCAGGCATAGTAAATGTTTAAGGGCTTTGGTTTATATAAGGAACGGAGAGACGTAAATGTGAACCATGTCTGCCATTGAGAGTGTCTCCCACCTCCACCCCCTTTAGTATTCTCTTGAATGTTGCTTACCAATTTGTAAGGCCATTCCTGAAACACATTCAATCTGCTAAGTCTTAATATGTTTTATAAATGATGGCGCTTTTGGAGTTGCTGTGTTGTCTGTCTGTAAGAACCTTTGGAACAAGTCTGATTTCAATAAAAGTGTAGCTGATAGTGTTGACTATAAATATCCTCACTACAGTGAGAGTTATACTGATAGAGTGAAAGTAGTGATTTGTATGAGTGAAGATAAGAAATCTGAAACCTCAGAAGTGGTTCCAACAATATTTACTGTTTTCCCTTTCAAAAAAAAAATTACTTTCTATCTTTTGTTTTCAGATTGTAGTAGAATGTACATTCCTTGATTACATCATGGGTGGGTGTCAGCTGAATTTCACAGTAAGTTAAATCCTCTCTATAGAACAATTTCAAAACTCTGGGGGCAAACTGAAGTGTATTGTGGATTGCCTGTGCTCTTCATTTGATTATTATAAGATCTTGTTCTGTACCATGGAGGAGTGTATTGAATTAATCTTGGCTGGTCACTAAACCATGCTATCACTCCCCTACTTAGAAGTACAGGGTGAGAAAATAAGATGGAAAAGCTTTTGGGTCAAGCTAAAGATAAGATCATTCACTGATTATCATCATGGGCAGAATAGACTTGGGGAAAGTTTATTCAATTTATTGCCAGCTAAAAATGGAATAAGGTAGCGATAAATATAAATAAAACTAAAAAATACTTTCTTTCTACATGCTCTTTCCAGAATCAGCTTTGTTTCTGACTCTTCTGCCTCCACTCTACCAAGTGGTGTAGGGATGATTGGGAAAAGGGGGTTGTAGACAGTTCAGTCTCTTTCTCACATAATTCCCCTGCTGCAGAGCCAGCTGGAAGCATTATTTAGCATCTTACAGAGCTTCCCTCTATTGGCAACACCTTGCCACGTAAACCAAGTGCAAAGGAGACACTTTTGTCAGTGTCCTATTTGGTTTGTTTAGGAAAAATTTTCTTTACTCACAGTATAAAGGTAAACCTGTGATTATTTTCAGAAAGGACTTGCTGAGTTGTGTGAAAGGAAACCAAGGACAAATTTAGAGTTCTCTGATGTTCAGACTTTATTCAGGTTTTGGTGGTTGTTGTTTTTGTTTTTTTTCCATAACGGCTTCTCCTGCTTGCCAACCCCATCCTAACTAAAGATTTACCTTTTTGCCCAGGATTGTGGTTTTCAAGACCCTTTGCTACAGGAAGGTAAAATCCAGAAGCCACCATATGGGGTCTGGCTTATAAGTTGTAGTTCACAAAACTAATACCACATAAGTGCCTCATCATCAGTGGAGAGATGATGACCTCTTGAGGTCAGAGAAGGTCTATAAATAGTTCTTCCATTGGGTCTGTCTAGTTGTACATCTGAGCAGAAAGAGGTAATTGACAAGAAACAGCTTATTTTCATAGCTGTTGAAGAGCTGCTGTGAATGGTAACTGAAAGTAAACACAGCCAAAAAACCTGACAGATGAAGTAATTTCAGTGCTTCCAAGACATGTAGGGCTTCTACTATTTTTTCTGGTGGTATTGTTTTAAGTGTGTTTAAACTTCCAAGAAACTTGCATTTAAGTATTGGGCCTGTTAAATTTTTGTAATAACAGTTTATAATTCTTTTGTAGTTTTTACTTTGGCTTTGTCTGTGATTAGATGCACATTTTCACCTCAAACAGCAGCTTGTTTTGAATACTGCATTTGACAGGTGGGAATAGATTTCACAGGCTCCAATGGAGATCCACGCTCTCCCGACTCCCTTCACTACCTGAGCCCTGATGGAGTTAATGAATACTTAACAGCCATTTGGTCCGTAGGGATGGTCATTCAAGATTATGATACGTAAGTTTTAATTTTTTAAGTTATTGTTTAGAGTATAAATAGATTTTTGTAGCCAGCAGATGTGCCAGTGAAAGTTTAGAGCTGAACGTAGGGCTAAAGAAGACTCTGTAGTTACTGCACAATGACATAATTACAAGTGGAAATTTGTATTTTCAGCAGGACAAGTAAAGCTTTTATATCTGTGATATAAAGTGCCTCATTAATTTAAATAAGTGTTTGATTTTTTTTTTTTCCAATTTGGTGTTTAAAAACTGGTTTTGTTCGTAGAACCAATTACAGGAAGAACTGCACCCCATTTTGCCTCTTAATTCTTAACTGCATTTTTAATGACCAAAGGCAGTACTGATTGTCTAAACTTACTGAACTAGGACAGCTTTTAGAGGAAAACAGTAATTTCATTTTCTTTAAAATTGCCTTTTTAGAGATAAGATGTTTCCAGTCTTTGGATTTGGTGCACAGATTCCTCCTTCCTATCAGGTAATAGAGCATGGAAATTCATAAGTCAATTAGAAACATGTATTTTAGGAAGGAATTGTATGTATGTTCCTGACTGATTTTTGTGTATTAACAGGTGTCACATGAGTTTCCTATAAATTTTAACCCATCAAACCCATTCTGTAATGGTAAGTGGCAGAAAGTAACATCAGACATAGAGAATGAAATGTCTAATGTAAAAGGATGAAAAAAAGCATTCGAAAAGAGAACTGTGAAACGTATTGCTCACATTACTTAGATGAGATTAGTCATCTCATTATCAGGAAACAATTTTATAACCTACATCTTAATTAACAGAAATAGCATTTGGTCTCTCTTCTGAAATGATTTGCAGAAACCTTTTTTAACAGCTAGAGTCACAGTATAGGTAAACTCTGCTGATGTGGATTTTTCTAATTTGAGTACTATGCTGTGAGTGCCTGTTCAACACAGGCTCTCTGATGACATTAACTACCACAGATTACCAGCCAAAGAGAACTGCTGAAATTTAGTTGCATGTACTTGGACGTATAGTATTTGACCTTTCTATTCTTGACTTAAAACCAAGCTTCCATTACTTGTGAATAGTTTTTATCATCGTGGTTGGCTGTAAATCTTTGCACCACTACTTTAGATAACTGTTAATGTTTTTAGAAAGATTGAGTGCTACAACATATTCTATTATGCAAGGAGTATATTGAAACTATTTATATTCTCTAGGAATCCAAGGCATTGTTGATGCATATCGTGCTTGTCTTCCTCAAGTGAGGTTATATGGTCCAACCAATTTTTCTCCAATTATAAATCATGTGGCAAGATTTGCTGCTGCAGCCACACAGCAGCAAACAGCGTCTGTAAGTTCATTATCAGTGTATTTATTTTTCAATTTTCTTTCTATTCTTGTTTATAAGTACTATTTTTCTTTTAAGCTTGTAAGTGTACCTGTTTTATCAGCTGTCCATTTACCTTGTGAATTGATTTTTGCTATCTTTGAAACTAGATAAAATCTAGCTTATTCTAGTAGATTGTTCAGAATTCTCATTATCAAAGTAAACTTTTCAGAGTTGATACTTAAAACCATACATTATCTTAATGGCGTTTTCTATTGAAAACTCAAAATCATATAAACAAGAGAAGACAGGGATAGTAAATGGATGTTAACATAGGTAATGAACTCTCCTTATTAAAAAATGGTGCTGTGTACCTTGCCCTTTCCACCCAGTTACATATTAAAACAAAGGCTGCTCTGAAAGTAATGCCTCCTATTTTATTATGTTGGCCCACTATGTTAGAGGCAATTGTTGATGGCATGGCAGTAGAGGTTGTAATTTCCCAACCAATATACTGTTATGTTTTGTTGCCATATGACAGATGGCAGCAGGGAGCAGTCTGACAAAACTACTTCATCCACATTTCCATATTAGATGCAAAGGTGTGTCGTTGAATTCCTTCATGCACTCACTGATGTTAATGCTTGCTGAACATTTATGGAAATCAAGCAGTGATTTTTAATACAGTGGGGTGGTGAGTTGTGCATTCCAGTTGTGATTACAGTGATGTGAAAAACATGCCATTTTTCTGGATGACTGTGTACAGCTGCTACACCACAAAATGAAGAGCAATTATCAGTTCATCCACACAAATCATGGAATTAGAACCAGAGAATTGTGTGCAGAGCTAAATAACGGCCTTGGTAATAATGGTGGCTGTGCTGGAATACTGCAAAGTTTGGGCCTGGTGAGTCTCAAGATTGTTCACAGGAACGCTGTATACAAGTTTGTGAGGATCTGTTGAACCAGTACAAGGCTGAAGGTGACAGTTTCCTGGACCACATCATTACTGGTGACGAGATGTGGTGTCACCACCAGGAGCCTGAGTCAAAATGGTGATCCATGGAGTGGTGACATATGAATTCCCCATCGAAGAAAAAGGTTAAGATACACTGCTCAGTTGGTAAAGTGATGCACATTGCCTTTTGTGATAGGAAAGAGGTGATCTTTCTGGATTTCCTGGAACCCAAACAAACCATCAGCTCTGACTACTACATCCTGACACTGACAAAGCTGAAGGCTTGAATTTCTACGGATCAGACCAGAGAAGAGCAACCTCCATCTTGCAAAATGATAACAATGGACTCCATACTAGTTTGAAGACCTTAGAGTGCTTTGTCAATTTTGGCTGGAGTGTCCTACTACACCCAATGCATGGTGTCTTCTGACTTCTCTTTGAACCTAATAAAGATGAACTGCATTTGCAACATTTTTCTAGGAACTATGCCATCATAGCAGCTGTGCAACAGTGGGTCATCTCCACTGGTACAGATTTTTTTGAGCATGGCATGAAGGCTCTTGTTCACTGCTGACAAAAATACATAGCTAATGGTGGTGACTGTGTTGAAAAATAATGTTTTGTAGTAGGGAATTTGCTTTATTGAATTGTGTATGTTCTTTGTATCTGTTGTAGCTTCCATGGAAATAAACAGGAGGCATTACTTTCAGAGTGACTTACGCATGTGCAAGTCACTGACCATATTAAGAGTTAGTAATTCCAAAGATGCCTTTTCTGTTTCTCTTGGTCACATTCTCCTGTTCATCCTTTCTTAAATGAATGAAGCAAAGGTTAGCATTTCATAAGGGTACTGTTAGACCAGAAGGGGAAAAAAAATGAGAGTTTCAAATGCAATCTGTATTCTGTCCAGAACTTCAATAAACTGCCTCATATCTCAGGACGCTACTTGGAAGATATGCTATTTGGGTTTATTTGGGGATTTTGGAGAGGAAAGAAAGCGTGACGGGATTGTTTTTTCAGGAAGGACTGTTGAAGGATGACTTATATTAGAACATTTTATTGTCCAAATCAATTGCTTTGGACTGTACAGAAGCCTGAGAAAAACACAAATATTTGTAAACTTCAGTGGGTGCAATGACCTTATTTAAAATCATGACAGTATATAGCCTTTGCTTGTGTTTTCTAAGCACATATCCCCATGTGTTGTCTCTTTCTATCATAACACAGTGTTTATTGATTTGACAGCAATACTTTATTCTTCTGATCATAACGGATGGTGTTATAACAGACCTTGATCAAACTCGAACTGCCATAGTTAATGCTTCAAAATTGCCCATGTCCATTATCATTGTTGGTGTTGGAGGAGCAGACTTTGATGCTATGGAATTTCTTGATGGTGACAATGGAGTTCTTAGGTCTTCATCAGGAGAACCAGCTGTCAGAGACATAGTCCAGTTTGTGCCATTTAGGAAGTTCCAAAATGTAAGTAATTTTAATGGTGTGGTATGTAAAAACTGTGAAGGCATGGTAGGTTTGCTAGGATATCCTATATACAGTTCTGAGCTCTTGCAGTGACCTTAAAAAGATCTGAAGTTTGAGATAAATATATATCAAATGCTCGAAAGTAAGAGCGGAAGACTTTTAGCATCTGTAGAGTTTCCATTAGGTGAGCTGATTCATGTTTTAAAGAATGCATGCCTGGTTTGGGAACTGCATTTCTGACAAGCTGTTACAGGTGACTGACCATTGTAAAGCCCCCTGAGATTAGATTACACAAGAGGATGTGTTTTTCATTTTGGAGGAAGACGTTACTGTGATTCTGTTCTTGTGGAAAAATGTTTCTTATTGTGGTCATGTCCATTTCTAAATGTAGATGAGTGTCACGTTTTAATGTGGGCTAGAATTGAAGTGTAAGTTGGTAAAGTGATCATCATTAGATGTTGTGTGTAGAACGAAAGACAGTAGTGGTAGTTTTTCATTAAAAGAAAGATATGTATATACCTCGTACTCCCCAAAATATGAATCAATTGAGTCTTGATTTTTTTTTTTTGCTGTACAACCCAGTAAAATATGCACAGATTTACATAGACTGACATGTAGAAGTCCTATCTCTAGGAGAAGTGAATTAAAAACAAAAAATTGAAGATTTCTTTGGGATGGGTAAAATAAACTGAAATGAGAGCAATATCAATATTGTGTATGATTATTTATAAAATGTTTTTTATTACTAGAAAAAGTGGCATTATTTTCAACAGTTGTTTTATCTTGCAGTAAATATGATATAAAAAAGAAACTTCCATTTATCCTGCAAGGGTACTGTGTAAATGTCAGATGTTAACTCCTCTTAGTAGTGGAGATGCTTACTGCCTGTCTTAGGATTTCCTTTAACAGTTGGTAGAGATGGAAACTTGATGTTCTCTTTTTTTTTTTTTTTTTTTTTTTTTTAATTTTTTTTTAAGTCTCCGAAAGAAGCTTTGGCTCAGTGCGTCCTGGCAGAAGTCCCTCAGCAGGTGGTGAACTACTTCAGCACCTACAAATTGCAACCTCCTAAGAATTCTGCTGCAAAGTGAGTGGGCTGAGTGGGGAAGCTGAGTCTTCATGCCTTCTTTACTTGGTGTACCTACAGACTTTGTTTCTTGAGATACTCTATATATGTACATATGCACACCTCTGTGGTAATGTGTTAGCTTTTTCCTGCAAAACAGTTTGCCAAGAGTGTCTTCTGAGGGCCAAAATTGTAATTGTTTTAGTATTCAATGTATGTTTATGGGATAGATCATACATGGATGTGTTTTATTTTGAAAACTAATAGAGGGGGGAAAAGAAGAGATTGACTATGCAGAGAGAGGGGATGCAGAGATATTGACTATGCAGAGAGAGGGGATGGAGAGCAGAATGCCTGCCTGTTTGATAAATGTGGCCAGTGAGAGTGATCAGTTACTTTCTTGAGTGGGGATCAACACCAAGCAATGCAATTTCTCGGTGATTGTAAAAACAATCTGATGTGAAAAAGAGGGCATATCTCCAAGCAGGTAAGTTTGTATGTGCTGCAACAAATCTGTAATATTTCATGTTTTTGTGTCTACTAAAGCACCATAAGAAAACTGTATTACGGTATTGATATAGTTACATGAGTGCCAGAACAAAGTGTAGAAGTCCTCCTTGCATACATCAAATTTGCTACTTTAGTGCCTTTGACCAGTGCCTTAGATCTAAGACTGTGTGAATATGGGCAAAATGTCTAAAAATCTCAGAAAAATACTATTGGCCCTTGAGGCTACTACTGTAGATGCTGTAACATATATGTGAATGAGAACTTCACTTAAAAAACAGGAAGTTCAGGTGTAACTTTCTCTCCTTTAAGTGAGACAGTCATATGCCTGTTGATCTTTAAAGGGCCAGGGCATATCAGGAGGTAGAAATTAACATTTTAACTGGAAAACTCTGTTTAATAACTGCATGTTATCATACAAAGCTGGTTCTACTTTATATTGATTTTTGTCATATTTTGAGTCGCACATTTTTCTGATGAGCTCTCAAGAGCTAGTGAAAAGTGCCTGCAGAAAATAATCTTTCCTCTTCCATCCCTAGCAGGAAGTTATAAGTAAGTATCTTTGGGATTTTGGATGGTCTAGTTGTAGCATGTTACAACAGAATGAGCTAAAACTGAACTTAACCTTCTTGGGCACCCAAGGTGGCACCAGTTTATGGTGTATGTGCCTTTTCTGGCTGCTGGAGTTGCACTGTTCTTTCTCCACATATGCATAATTCTGCCAAAAATCTGAATTCATGTTAATGCATTAATGATAATGGATGAGTATTGAGATTGCTTTATACATCCTGTAGGTTGGTCCAAAGGTTCCATACACAGCTGACTATTTACCAATCATCAATTTTTCTTGTTGGAAGAGGGACCTAAATTGTTTTAGGACTGAGATATAAGAAAGATATTTTGTTTTGTATTAAGTCAAGCACTCTTTAAAAAAATATATATATATATACATACATTCATACATATTTTTTATATATATAATTCATGTTTTGCTCATATAAAAATATATGGAGTAATTTCTTTGTAACTGAAGTGCAAATGCATTAGTATTTCATACATAAGATATAATGAACTGTCATGCTATATCTGCAACAGACAATATTAGTATCAAGGAAGTAGTTATGAACCTAAATCACACTGCTTTAGATTGATAAAGTATGATTTTGCACCAGTTATCTTTCACAGTCGTGTGCTCCATGCAGACAGAGAGCAAACAAGATGGGGTATTAGTGCTTTGTCTAGATTCATTGAAGTGAATGTGTACTACTGATTGGAATTCAAAAATTCCTTTTGAGCTTTCTGCCAAAAATGATGCTGCATCTCAGTTATGTCACAGTTCTTCTCATGTTGCTGTGGAAGTGCATTTAAATGCATTAATATATGTTAATAAGCATAACTGTAGTAAATCATCTGCTGTGTATAAAATAAAACTTATTCCTGAATTCATTGAGCTTAGGAAATTAAATAGCTTATCAATAATGCCTAATTTCAAGGTACTCTATGCTTTGTAATATAAATATGTTTCAGACCTGACAATGGCTAGAATCGTTTTCCAAGTATTCTTTTCTTTGGAGCATGCAGCTAAAAGCATGTTGAAAAATTTGGAAATTTCCATGTTAGGCTGAAGCAGTATTCTGAGCTAAGGTATGCACCAATTGGATCAAGAGGAAGGGGAATCTTCTCATTTTGCCACTTTTTGGTTTTTGTTTTTACATGTGAAAAATGCCATATTATCTTGAGAGTACTAAGCAAAATATTGTCTTAAGTTCTGAAAAGTGTATGTGCTTGTAGATCACTTGCACCACCTTGTGATAAAAGTAATATATAGCAGTCTTTGTAATCGAGCTTATTGCTGTTTAATGGCTTAATATATACATATGTGCAGCAGCGAAATAACCTGTGACCAGAGTTTGTTTTTCTTTTTTTTTTTAAAGTATTTTCCATATGTATTTCAGTTCTGAAGCTAACTGGTTTACAATGCTATACATTAAAATTGTCATTTCAGTGTATTGTCTTCTGTCGTGCTTTTGTATTCAGCATTTTCTTTGGAACGATGAATACTGTTTTGGTAATTGTTGTGATGAGTATTGCGTAGGCTGAGCAGCTTAGATAAATGTGTCTTGTTAGAGGGGAAAAATGCCTTCTTACTTGGTGGTTGTGAATGTGCAGTCTGTATTTCATAAAACATAATGTACTGACGTTATCAATGTGATATTCTGAAATTGGATAGTTTTAGCAGTGACTGTCTCATCCATGCTGAAATATGCACTTATGATCAGTTTTTCCAAGTTTTTTTTTCTTCTCCATGGCATCTACGTTTTAAGTAGAGAAGTGCAGAGATTTATTTATTTTTAATTTTAAACCCAATGACCTTTCACTGACATTCAGGTGTAGTCAAGACAGATGATTTACTGTGAAACTCAGTCTTACTAGAGTCATAATGTTACAGTGGTGTGTAATGCCATACAGTACCTTAGTGAACCATGTAAAGGCTCTAGAATGATTCACTCAGCTTCTGTACAAATGAAGAATCCACAGGGTAAAATCAGTTTGAGAAGGTTTAATGCACCTTACACAAGGAGTGTATCTTGAGGTGTCTTGTGCTGCATGGTGTTCTTTCTGTGAAAGCCCAACAAATAGCTGAATTTTGAACTCGTGTATCCTTCCTGCCCCTCCCCACTCAGAAATATAGATGGATTCTAGGAAATAATTCAACAGCAGAAAAGTCAGATGTCAGAAAAACAAATGGGTGTGACTTCATGTAGCCCTGAGCTTAAGCACTGACACTTCTTTCATTTTGGATCTAAGGAGCAAGAGAACTTTGCATAGCTGGATAGTTTTGAAGACAGAACTGCAAGTTCCCCTTGCAAACCTCAGCTGCTAAGAGCTTCAGCAAAGCAGCAGCTTGTGGGATGTTCTGTTGCTCCAGTGCAACATTTGCTGCTGCCATTTCAGACCTTAATATTTGAAAATAAATGGCTGAACTTCGATATTACCAACCATGGAAATGTTTGTTTTGAAGACCTGTACTCGGGGAAGGGGACTGTATTTTTTGCTTCACCCATCAATATCAAAATGTAAACATACAGGGGTTTATGTGCTTTTCCCACTTAATGTTTTGAAAACTGCCCCTCAAAAAGTGATTTAAGAGCTGTGTATTGAAATGAATTCATGGATCTTTAATATTCACAGTAGGCCTCACTTGTAAAGTAGCCTTGTAGTGCTTCTCATTTTTATCCTGTATTGAGATGTCCCAGATGGACAATAAATGAGTAGTTCTTTGTGGTGTATTATACCATTTTCTACCACTGTTGCGTGGCATCCTTTCTTTTCTTACATATCAAATAGCAAGTGACAGACCAATAAAGAGGGTTCTTCCCATGTTAAACCTTGACCTCCCTGTTAATATGACAGAATTTTCTTTTTGAGGGAGATTTGTTTTTCAGCCACGTCGTAGGTTGTTTAGAGTATACAGAATTCAATCATCTAGCTTTTCCTCAGTCAAGGTGCCCACAGGTTCTGCAGCTATGCCTATGCTTGGTATTCAAAGGCATTACAGGATAGACTTGCACAATTTGTAGCACCAGGAACATAAATAGCCCTGCAAAGGAATTTTTTTTTCCAATATGGCATGGTGTTTTCCTTGTATCTTGGTTGTCCAGTCAGCTGAGGAACTGTAAAATCTACCCTTATGATTTGTTTGCAGGCCTCTGGATAATGATTGTAGTTCCCAGTACTGTGCTTGCACTGGGGACTGAACGTAGACTGGGAGAGGAAGCAAACTCATAGAAAAATTTAGAGGATTACTGAGGAGGGTTTTCTTGTGTTTTCTTTTTTTTTTTTTCTTTTTCTTTTTTTTTAGATATTTGTAACATGTTACGTGTAAAATGGAAGCAATTGAAAAGTAAGCTTAAAACACTGCTTCATCTTTGTTTAATTTATATTCCTTTTTGCTTTGAGTCTGTGCAGAAGGTTGACTTTGGTAACTTCTTGTTAGTGACACAGCTGAGAGAGCTTTCTAGGTAAAGGATTTGCTGTAGTTCATAGGTATGATGTAGCCCACTCTGTATGGTATGTGGCTCATTTGTTGCTATCATGTGAGTTCTGTGGTGAAAATGAACAACTGGAGTATTCAGCCTCTTGGAATTGTGTAGCACATGGCCAAAAAGTGTAAATCCTGCTTTTTATAAAACTGCTCTTATTTCTAAATTAGCCACTCTAGATAAGAGGTTCTTCAAAAAAATTAGCTAGTATCAAATGCTTGTTCTTCAGAGAGCAGTATTAATATCCAACCCCTTGAGAAGATGAAGTGTGTAAATCAACAACCGAAAGTTAAAGGTTGCTCCCCAGGGGCATGTGGGAAGTATCTTAATTCTGCTAATCTAACTCACCAGAGTCAATACAGATGCCTGGAATGATGCTTTTGCCTTCAGGAGGCTAGCAATAATTACACAGCCTGATTCCCCATTCTGTATGTTGTGATTTTTGTATTTATTTATTTATATGGTCTTATTTTGTAGCCGTCTGTCCTAAGCTAAGACACCGTAATGCTGAGCATCAGAGCCTTCTGTGCTGACCTGTGCTGTCACAAAAGCGTGTCGCTGATTAGAAGTATCAGGGGAGGAGAGAGAAGGATCGACAGAAACATGAGTAACCTCAGCATTAGCAATGAAGTAACAAGGAACAGGACAGCTATAGGAAACCAGAAAAGAAAGTAGAGCAGAACAGACGTGAAAATTATAAGCAAACTAACGAAGAGGAAAAATAATAAGAAAGAGAGAATAAGCAGGAGAGGGAAAAGGAGAAGCAGGAACAAGGCAGTGTAAGAGATAATGGAGAGCATAGATCAACCAAGAAGCAAGCTGTTCTGAAATCCAGTCAGATATCTAATTCCTATTACACGAGGAATTCTCTCTTCAGGCTCAAGATTAAGATGAAGGTGTACAAACAATTTGTCCCCTTGCCTCAGGAGAGGAAGGAAGAAAAATAGCTGGGGTAGATTCTCTCTTGAGTAGCCTCTGCTTTTATCTTCTGTACCCAAAGGCAAAGTCACAGTGAGCCCTTCGAATTCAACAAAACACAGCCCAAAGTACCATCTATGTCTTTTTCTTCTCTTTAGCTTCGACTTTAAGGATCTCTCCTTCTTCTGCTCTGGGGGATGGAGACATAGTGATGATCAGAGACTCATTCGTGGTTCCTCTGTGCATAACTGCATGTGGTTTAGGCTTAGTGTCTGCTTCTGGCTCTTCCTTTTTCAGAGAGGGTGCAGATGGGGCTGCAGGCTCTGGTGGTTTCTTCTCCTCTTTTTCAGTCTTCTGCACTTCAGCTTCATGTTCCTATAATCAAAATGTTAAATGTTTTCCAATGCTGCAAAACAAATTCAGGAAAAAAATCTGCACTGTATATACAGTGGTAAGGCACGGGATAGGGATACTAAGATTAATAGGACTCAACTTGTATATAAACTTGTATTCAGCTGCTGAAAATCAGTTTCTATGTGAAAAATACTATTTCAAAATCAGAAAATAATAAAACTAAGAAGAGCTTGTGGGTAGTGATAGTATCTGCTGCTCATTAATACAGCTGGACAAAGCAGGCATGTTTTGGTGCACAAAACCTTTCCTCAGGTCTCACCTTCTTTTGTGTACTTATGCAGGTATAGAAAGAAAAAGTGTTATGTGATTCTTAACATGCTCTCCAGTGCCCCATTTCCTTGGCCAAGCCTACTTGTGCTAAAGTTTGCAAATATGCATTAAATTTGATGAAGTTTCTACTTCAATCTTGCTGTTGTAGTCATTCATTTAAGCAAAGTTCTTTATTTCATTTAAAAGAGAGTAAAAACATGGTCCAGCAGTAAACTATAAAAGCCAGAAAAGTTTTCTGCCTCTTCTGGGCAAATATTTAAAACTGAGCAGGTTCTTACTAATATGAATGTTTCTCTGAACAGAATATAAGGTAGGAATTTTTTTTAATCAACTGAAGTAAGTTTTCTCATAAATGCAGAGTATCACATATTTAAACAGATCTAGCTGTGTGGTCTATACTTGAAATGTTGTTTTCAAGATTGCTTATTAGCAAAGGTCTGACTTTGAACTGGAAAGCTCTATGCTTCAGTCAGCTGGATTGGATTACTGCATTTGGACATTTGTGTTCACTAGTGTATGTATAAAATTAGAAGATCAAATGCTCTTAGTATCTTTTAGGGTTTCTTTTATCCTTTCTTTTCTTGAGGGGTTTTGTTTGCTTATGTTTTCCTTGCTCTTGTTTTTCTCTGTTCTTCCTAGAGTTCAGACCAAGAAAGATTTGAGCCAAATTCTACAGTCCCAATTTACAGAGATTAATTACTGTGACTGTATCTCAGCTACTTGGGGTTTTTGCTACTGATTGCTCTAAAGCTGCATTTCCATCTGTTCCATTTGCCCAAGCCCTCCCAGTATATTTCCTACTTCTCTATCCAGCACTTGACAGAATCTGTTATCTGTGACATTACCTGAATGTCTTGTTCTCTCTTCAGCTGCAGCAGCTTAGCAAGGCCTCCTTTTCCTTTAGCTCCAAACATCGCTTTAAACAGTTTTGGAGTTTCCTGTTTCTGCCCAAACAAACTGGCCAAGCCCCGGGGCTGCTGCACTGGTGGTCCAGGAGGAGGTTTCCCCTTCTCTTTCAGCAACACCCTGGAGGCAGGAAGGAATGGGAACACACAGCAGTGCAGTGAAACCTGGAAAAGTTCTGGCAGAACTAAAATGTCATGTGTGGATGAACACCTGACAACTTTTCTAGCAATTTTTTTTAATCCTAGATTCAATGGCAGGAGGAAAGCAGGTAAGGGTGAGGGCTTTACTGGCTTTGGTAGTATCTAATAAACTGAAAGATACTGTTTTAATTTGGAATTGCTTTCTCATTTCTTACAGCTTAAACTAGTGTAGGCTCAAATTAAAGTATTACAAAGCAGGTGTGTTTTATAAGTCGAAGGGGAAGGATGGGGAAGGATGCCTTGTATGTGAGGCAGAAAGTCTCTCTGCTGAACTTCTGGATACAAATTCAGAGAGCATTTATTACTCTATTTGGAGTTTAACTGATTCTTGAGGAAGTAATTGTTAACCAAACTTCTAGCGTAAGTCATGTCAGGTGGGGGTACATATTCTTCAGTAAATTACCCTATGTATATGAAATTTACTAGATTTTCACACTTTTCAGTAGCTGTGCTGGTTGGCAACCATAATTGGAGGAAGTGAGAATGAATGATGATGGTGGAAATTATACTTTGTAACTTTGGGAACACTGATAATTTGATTCCAAATTTGAACATAACTGCAAATCTCTGTCAAAATAACACAAGTCTTCTGTTGGTGCCTAGTTTTTCTGGAGACATGGCTGACCATGCACAGAGCATATGCGGACTTGGTGAATACCCAGACAGGTGAGCAGAATACATGGCCTTCAGTACAAGACAGGCACTACATATTTTTTTAAATTGCACAGATTTTTAAATTGCACATTTTTTAAATTACAAAACCTTATTAAGATTGATATCTAGAGAGGGCTTTGAGCCCACATGGGGATGTAGATATGAAGGATGGGTAATTATTAGACTACCACCATTGAGAAAGTTGCACAGAGAAAGCAGAATGCGGTGATTTAGCAGGGTGCAAGAAAGCAGGAGAAGATAGTGCAGGATATAGAAACAGAAATAACAAGTAATGATGATTATACCACTGTTTAGAAACAAGCTGGAAGCCAGGAAGGATAATTGCTGGGGGTGATCAGTCAGTGAGCTTGTTCTGTCTTTCTGCCTGTTGGTGTTGAAGTCTAATCTCTGAAGACCGCAGATGTGAAAACACTTAGCAGATGGGCAAGAGCTGTGCATCTACCGCTACCTTGCTTGGTGCCATGGGCATAATATCAGCCTGTTTAGGGGCCCCTCACTGAGTCTGAAAGTCAAGAATATGTGCTATTGGTCTCATCCATGCATTTCAATCTTTTACAAGGTAGTAAAGCAATCATGTTCATAATCTTACAGCAAAATATGACAGCATTTTGCCCTGTCAAAGCCAGGGTAAACTGCATTCCAATGAAAGGAGGACAAGAAGCAGTTCTGATTTGAAATCCTGTTTTAGAATCTCTTTGCACAGAATGCAAAGCTTTCAGATCTGTGTGCTTATCTTTTGTCTTACCAAGTGTTACTTTAGATCATCTTCTAACTGGTCCTTCAGCTTTTTAAAGGCATGCAAGCCTGTGGATGCATCGAAGTGTATCTCTGTAGAACTAATTGCGGGTGTTTGGTTGCATCTTTGAAAACCTGCAGCTTAACTCACATCTGTCTTGCATTTTCTGACTTCTTGTCTATGTAAGGAGTTTTGTCCTGATATACATCTGTGCCTCTTGTTTTGTTACCTGAAGTGCAGCTGCATTCAGGACTTTATTCTATTTACTATTTATTATTTTAATAGTTCTTACAACTATTGGAATCCCTGACATGGAAGCATGGCTTCCCATATGTATTAGGAGACAAATCTGACCTCTAAATACAAATGTGTTTACATTATTTTCCAGAGAAATGAATGGAAATATGTCTAGGAGCCACAACTCCTTTTAAAAGCTAAATGCAATGATTTAAAAATTGTTTGTAGGACATACTTCGCTTTCTTCATCAGAAGTTTTTCAGAGTCAGGGTAGTGCACCAAGATTTCATTGAGTGTTTTCTTGTCTAGAATGAAAAGGTTGGCAAAACCATGAGCCACCACGTTGGCAGTCCTTCGATTTCCTCCACCTGCGGCTAATAGGCTGCAATGAAAATAAATGTTGTTATTCACATCGCTGCTTGACCTAGTAAGGAATCTCTGAAGTTGGTTTTCCACCAAAGACATAACAAAACAGCTCACTAATGTACCTGAGTGTTCTATTTGATTTCTGTAAAGTCCCTTTGCAGTTGTGATTGGAAATATCTTCTTGTAGCAAGAAGATATATTGTCACTTCTGGTCAGGATTGTTGGTCCTGGACTGTGAAAAGTCTTGCTGGGAAGAGACGTATCACAGAATCATAGAATCATTGAGGTTGGATTAGACCACTAAGATCATCTAGTCCAACTATCAACCCATCACCACCATGCCCACTAACCACGTCTCTCAGTGCCACATCTCCACACTTCTTGAACACTTCCAGGGATGGTGACTTTACCACCTGCCTGAGCAGCGTGTGCTAGTGCATTACTACTCTTTTGGAGAATAAATAATAATAATATTCAAGGCGAACTTCCCCTGGTGCAACTTGAGGCCATTTCCTCTCATCCTGTCACTGTTAACTGGGACAAAAGGCCAACCTTCCCCGTTACCAACAACTTCCTTTCAGGCAGTTGTAGAGGGTGATAAGGTCTCCGTTGAGCCTCCACTTCTCCAGACTGAACAATCCCTCAGTCACTCCTGTAGGACTTGTGTTCCAGACTCTTCACAGCTTTGTTGCCCTTCTCTGGACACACGTTTCTCCCAAGAGACACCACAGCAAGGACTGCATTTGTTTTAGTCCTTGTGTGAACTTGGCATTTCCTCTTTTTTATTGTTGAAAATGATTTAACATGATAGGGAGAGCAGCATAAGACCATTATAATTGAAGGCATATTTACAATGAATAAATGACTCCAAGAATTACAGTTTTCCTTAGTGAATAACTTGAGCGGGGTTTTGGTTTTCTCACGTATCACATCTCACATTTGGATGTTGGCAAGTTTAACAATATGGATTTGGAAGACCTTTCAATCTGACAGTTACAAATGTGTCTGTCAGAAACTGAAGGCTATTTTGTTTAGAAAGTAAAGTGTTAGACCAGCTTATTAAACAGGGGTTAGACATAGGAAGGATACCTGCATAAAAATTAAATTGTCTATCTTGAATGAAGAAAACAAAATAAAAAGAATTAATTCACAGCATTGAACATATTACAAATCTAGCTGTGGTGTCTCTGTTCATTGCAGGGGAGTTGGACCAGATGGCCTTCAGAGGTCCCTTCCAACTCTAAGGATTCTATGATTAATGTTTGATGTTAAGCAATAGAAGCTGCATTGTACTCTTAGTAGTAAATTTGCTTTATCGCTATTTGAGGAGATTCATCGTAGAGATTTGTCCCTAAAATGTTTCACAGTATGTTACTGTATAAAAGAATATTTTATAATACCTAAATTAAAAGGTTGTTAATAAAGGATAGTCTGGATCCTATCAGAAATGAGTTTACACTTATCATCAATACTAATCAGGATAATATTACTGATTTATAAAGGATCACCAGACCTCTGAATTCTGTGTATGAGGCTATTTTCACACAGACATAAAGTTTTGCTGCTATCCAAGTTAAGAATCAACCTATGAAGTCAAGTATAAAATGCAGCATATTGTCTTCTTTCATAATTCCGTACAGTTTCTCAGGCAGAAAAGTATTTGCACAATAAGAAAACCAGTTGAAGAAAATTGCAAACAGTTTTTGAGTTCTGATAAATCACTTCTCAACAAGTCATTGTACAATCATTTTCAGGCTTTCCTAATAACAAGCTCATTTTGTTGAGGCAGATAGGACTAAAGAGAACAGCTCTTTTCTTATGGTGATGGTGTGAGGTGAATTTTATGAGGGAGGCAGTCACTGCTCAAACAGAATCCTCTTTGACTAAAGGCAGCATTATAAACTCTGTTTTGGCCATTCCGCTAAAAGTTGTGTGATAGACTAAATCTTTAAAAATAATTGGCATTGTCCTTACAGTGGTTCTTGATGCTATAACATCTACAGTAATAAGGAGAATTGCCTTTTTACCTTATGGTTTTTACTGCAGTTAGCCTGAAATGATTTTATACTTAAATGAGATGATAACTTCCGAATTCTTATGATAGCAATTTAAATCTGGAGGTATGAAGTTGTCAAAGCAATGACTTAGCATATCTATTTCTTTTTTATAGCTGAGCTCAGTAGGAAGCAGCCGTTCATTGAAATTAGCAAACTGATCCAGGGAATGATGTGCATATCAACTGAATGTGCAGTGTGGTGGCTCTTCAGCTGGGCATATCTGTACATCTGGAAAGAGCTGCTAAATCAGGAAGGAGTCTGGATCTGGTGTCTGAGCCGAATGTCCTGACCTGAAATGGCAGAGCTCACTGAAAAGCAGCACCTACTACTGCTGGGCCAAAGTAGAAACTCAGTCTTTCACAAAGCTAAATATTCCCTTTAGTTTTTGACTTTTTAAAGGGAAGTTAAAGTTACAACACCACTGAGGGGCTAAAAACAAAGCCAAACACTTAGAAATCTTCCTGCCAAAAATGCTGCTTTTTTCCAGAATTTCCATTTTCTGATGGGAAATTGTTCTAGAGAGATAATAGTAAGTGGATGAATTAGGATAGCTAGCCTGGTGTGTACACTTCTCTGGGCTAATGAAGTGTTGTGTTATAGTTTCTCTCTCTTGAATTTCTTCCTTTCTCAGTTGTCTGTGCAGACAAGCTCTCATTATGGCAGCATTCTTTTTGCCTCTATTTTGGAGATTATTTTTCTTCCCTAAAATGACATTATCAGTACAGGAAACTAGTAATGAGGGTAAGGTGTTCATTGGAAGGCAGCTCCTATTGCTTAATCTATTTCTGCAGTAATTTTTAAAACAGGATTGGCGAATGACTGGATTGAACATCAGTCTTGCATTGGCCTTCTAGTATAATTCAGGAAATATTTTTGAAGTGAATGAACATTCTTTGTTGTCTTCAAGTCCTTTGCCTGTAGAGACTTTATAAGCATAATTTATAAGCATTTTGAACAGTGATATTAAATAGCTAGTATCTTATAATTCATATCATTAAACCACTCAGAATGAAGCTGACACGATTCTCTACACAAATCTTGATTCAAAAAATCAGGTGGAAATGATGACAGTTCAATACCAGGTGCTAACCACACTATGAATGCTGAGGGGAAAACTTGGAAGTGCTAAATAAAGCAATATTTCATTCATTAAAGACTTTTTTTTTTTTTTTTTCATTTTCCTCTGCGGTACGGTACTCAGAAGACCTTGACAGAGCTTATACAGAAGGGCACTGTATAAACTCATTATTTTCTAACATATTGCCACAAGGAAAAGGATAAATTTCTGCTGGTACACTTAGTGCTTCATGTCTTTGCTTTTCAATTTCAGAGATTTCTGCCAGTTGCTATGTGTTTTTTCCTCAGGATTATCCATTGCCTGTCATTTATATGCAAAGTAACAGGGTCTGTACCAGTATGCTGTCTCCACCAACACAGTAGGTCAATGATGAATAAAACAAGACGAGAAGCGTAGGTTTAAAGCATTGCTGAGGGCTTTGCTGGCCATCCTGGCAATTATGTGAAGAGTAAAACATACTGGGAAATGAATCTTTAAAGGCAGCTGTGTAGATCTCATCTGGAAATAAGTCCCCACTTTTGTTAGATCAAAACTTTGAAAATCCTTTCCTTGTTTTCAAATCAATCATGAACATTCCTCAGTTTGAAAACAAATGTCCTTGCTCCAAATGCAAAACTAATAAATAATTGAAAACTGTGTATGTGTTATATCTCTGGGATGCTGCAGCTTTTCTTTTACCTTTTCAGTATCTGTTCCTACCTGAAAACCACTGCATTCTGAGACTTTCTGCATAACACACAACACGCCATTTTGTTTTGAAGCTTTGCTCTGGTATTGTATTGTCACACAGAGAAACACTTCTAAAATAACCTTCTTGTCCATAGCCTCACTTTTCCACTCAACGAGGAAGGTCTGTAACTATGGGGTATATCAAGTGTTCTCCATGCGCAGCTCTCAGAAGGCTCTGTGCACCCACTGCAGAATAAATGGGAAAGTTTCCACTACCACAACGGGAGATGCAGCAGAAGATAAATATAAACCTAACACAGAGCTGATTACCGCTTTTGAAAAGATGGATTAAGGCTACCTTCAAGAGGACTAACAGTAACAAGAATGCAGCTGGAAGAAATCAAGAATCCAGTTTATCACATGCAACAGCACATGTATTTTGTTTCTTTTCCTCAGTCTAACCTCAGTAGGGGATGCAGTGCCTAAAATCTAGCTCTTAGTTGTCTAATTGGTGAACAAGGCACGGGAGAGCTAATGAATTTTGCAAAACAGCTATGTGGAGAATATAAAAAGCATTTGTAACTGCTTAAGGAAAGCTTTCTCCTCCAGAGAAACTTAGACCCAAAAACCTGGTCTGTCAGCCCTTTTCTCTTTCGTATTCTCTTAAACAAATACATATGAAAATGTAGATGCTAATTTTCAACAACTTAACTTCTACTTCAGCTCATAAATAAGTCAGTCTGTATTGCTATTTTAGATTTTTTATCTCCTTTGTTGGAAATTAACATTTTTACTCTGTACTGTGTAAGGGCAGCTAGTCTAACTATACAGACAATAAAATACATTCGGTCCTGTCTTTGTGCAGACTTTGGAACAGGAAGATGTGTTCAACCTTTTAAATCCTGAAGGAGAAATCCATCCATGTATCCTTGTGTACATTTTCCTGAATACTGATTATACATTATTTGTTGTTTAGAAGTCTGAGGTCTTGGGAGATTAGTCTCTGATGTTTCACTTACATGGACTTTCCCTCACTTATCTGTGTATCTCTGCTCAGCATTCTCTAGGTTGACCTCACCCAGCTTTCTAACCTTTCCGTGCAATCTCTCATGCTTACCAGAGACAAACATTCAAACAAAAATTTAACCATTGATTATTTAACCACTTCTGATGAAAGTATTATAAATGGTGGACCAACCTGATCTCCCCAAATACAGCTCCTGCTCGTAGTGTAACCAGGACTTTTGTGCCATCAGGGCCTCCAAGGACTTGAACTTCACCTTGTTTGATGATATACATCTCTCTGCCAATTTCTCCCTAGGCACAGAAACACATGCATAATGATCACTGTTTTTTGTTTCTCTTTTTAAAGTAAAATCATCTGACAAACATCTATGTAAATATCTCTCCCCCTTCTCATGCACAGTTTTACCAGCATTACGGAGAAATAAATGTTTGTGCTACTTTTCCTAGCATTGAGCACAAGTGTGAGGACTGACTTTGCGTATCTAATTGATGTGAGGCAGTGTTTGAGCAGAAGTTAAACCATCAAGGCCAACCTAAAAAATGAAGATTAATAACAGGCAGGATTGTATCAGTCATTTTCGTCTTCTATTCTAGTGGAAACAAAAGTAATTCAGCAGCATATTTAATGAAGAGAAGTGAAAGAAAGCCTGTGCTTTATGGTTTAAAAAACTTCAGTCTTCATTCTGTTACTTCCAAGCTTCACTAAACTAATTTACAAGGAAAATAAGAATAAACAGCCATTCTACAATTTGTCAAATGCTGTGTAATGACTGGATGGTTCAAGAGGTTATAGCTTGCCTATTATCTTCCACAAGACCTGCTAAGATTCATCAGTAAAAAACAGGCAACCTGGAGTATACATAATCATAACAGTACTCATCATATCTCAGTGACAGGCAAATAATTATTTTTCTGCTTGTGCTACTGGAGTAAAGCAGCAATTTCAATTTAAAAGTGAAAATGCAATAGCAACCCCACCAGAATTGAAAATGTATGGCTTATACTTCTATCTCATAATCTGCTTCTGCAAACCTCCTAGGTGAAGTATGATGAGGCCAATGTGCACCCACATAGGAGATGCTCCCAGCTCTCAAGTTCCAGCAGGATTTTATTCCCTACTACAAGTTACAGCATCAGTAGGATTACCTGATGCTATGGTTGCTGGACCAAACAGACTTGGGATCACTTGGTCAGAAGATGAGCCATCTACCTTTGTTACGTAAGGCCGTGTTTGAGCTAAAATCCTAAGGGACAATGCGACAGCATTCAGCTCACAGTTTGGAGATGGCACTGAGTGAATACAGACCAAGGTCCTGCTGTAGGGAGCAGTATGGGATGCACTGTATTTTTTACACTCTTGGGAATTCAGCTTCAGAGTTTGTAATATGCAAATGAAGCACATGCAAAGCATCACAGACTGAGATCCGTAGGCTAAGTTTGTATATATAACTGTACAAAAATTGAGCTTACTCCATCTTAAATATCCAGACTTCATGAAGTGTCACCAGATAAGTCATATTTACATTAAGTACTTTCCCATGCTACTATAATTTGTTAGATAATAATAAAATCCATATTGTCTTGTTCTATGTTGAAACTCGAGAGCAAATTTGTTATTGTTATACACTTAATTATTTTTATATTTTCTACTTCACTCAGAATTAATTTTATTTGAAGGCTACTTTTGACCTTTATCTGAACTCTTTTTCTAAAATACATATTATTATGTATTACTACACCACAGAGCTCACCTTTTTGCAGACAAAATCACCAGGTAAATACACAATGGATTTCAACCTTAGCAGCATGTCGTATATCATCTGAGTATCACACCCCTGTCAAAAGAATTATGCTGTATTGATTCAGGAACACGAGCGATTATTAGTGCTTACACTGGATATCAAAGTAGTACATGTATGATCCAGGGTTTTATAAGAGGCATGTAAAAGGAAAACATGGCAAGGACCAGCTCATAAAGGAGACAAAAGTACTTCCATTTCAGGTACTAACACAGTTCTCTTTGGGTTGAATATCTCTAATTTTTTTTTAATGCAGTAAGCTTCTATACATCTAAGTTTGACTGCTGTGGAAACGCAATATTATTTGCTGTGGGTTGTCGGTCTTTTAGGGATTTTTTTTTTTTTTAATACTGATCCAGAAAAAAAAAGCAGATCATGTAAAATGCTGGTATGAATCTGTGAATTCCATGTCTTTAGAAAATATTTCAGAAACAGTTCTACTATGTAATGTTTAAACAGAGATATCATGAATTCTTGCAATTGCCCTAAAAAAAAAAAACACCTGTTAAGCTTAATGTATTTCAAGATTACTTCTAAAAATGCATTTAAATGCATCAAAAATGCATCTAAATTTTCGTGTCACAAATCCAATGTTAAGCATTAAAGTAATCTCTCTGGAAACCTATCATGATAACAACGAGAAAGCTCTTTGAACAAAATGTTACTGAAATGCAGCTTTCACTACATCAAAGTTATGTTCTCAGAACAGGTAGTTTTGGTGATCTCTCAGGCAGAACTAAGCAGTAGACAGCAAGATGAACTGTACCAAAAATCATATTCTTCTCTGTCTGGCTGTGGTTAGCAGTTTTCTGCAATCACTTAGGGTCTGACCATAACATCAGCTTTAACAGGTCAGTATGACAAGACTTAACCTCATTTGCTCTTTTTTTATCTCTGATTTGACATGCACACACAAAACCAAAGTCATCCCTTGGCTTTGTCCTGACCTGTCTCCACTGACTTAGGTATATAATAGACTTAGTTTGCCTTGAGTATAAACAAACATGCTGTTTTGTGTAGCAAGATGCAAAAAAACAAGGTTTCCACCGTACAAGTGCCAGACATTACTGAATTCTTTTGTTAAAGTACTTGCTTTGAATAGGTCAACTTTATTGACAATGGCAAAGTTCACATCAATTGCAATGGCTAATTGCATTTTGGTTGGCATCTGCTCCAGTAATTCTGATTCATCTGTAAAAAACAAACAAACCAAAGAAACCAACAAGGCATTGTTAGATGGAAAATATATAAAGGAAGAGAGAAAGAATGTCTGTAAAAATGAGCATTGTATAGAAATATAGCTTCACAGAAGTGAAATGGTTTGTGAACTAATTAGTGCATCCCTGAGTTCAAATGAGGAAGATGGCTAGTATGCCTTTACTTTCTTTTATATTATGTGTGTTGTCCAAAGATATAACTGGAGTATTATGTAAATTAATAAAACTTGTGACGTAGTGTCATAATACTTTGGAGTTTTTTGCTTTTCTGAAGGAAACTGAATATCTTCCTCTCACCCTCTCCCGTGAAATTCAGTAAAGAAGAAATAAGCTTATAAGCATATTTGCAGAGATCACTCACTTTGAGCTGCAACGTAAAAGGAATTGGAAGAGCCTTACCCAGCATTCCCTGAGAGTCCCATGTGTATTCATACCAGGTTCGAACACGATTTTGAACCAGTTTTGGAATTGAGTATGTGTTCATATAGGAGACGGTGTTATCCATGCTGGAACGGTAGTAGTTCTGTCCTGCTGTAGCTGCTCCAATTACATCTCTCATCTGCAAACATCAGTTATGTTACTACGCATTTCAACAAAATAGTCTCCATTTGAGTATCTTGTCAACAACATAAAACAGGAGTGAAACATTTGTTTACGAAATTCCTGATTAATTATACATTCAGTTCTATGTTTTAGAGTTGCTTCATCTGCTTTTTCAAAAACATCAAAGACATAAGCGAATTGTGTAAGAAACAGACTGCATTATAATTTTTAAATAACTCATTTGTGCTTTTCTGCTTATTCTTCTTTTATTTCTAGAATTGGATGAAAAATACAGATAATGCTTTCTTAAATACCTGTAATAAGGCTACTCTGCATTTGTTGTGCCACACAAGCCAGAAATGAATCACGTTGTACCACAGAATCATAAAATTAGTTTGAAGGAGACCTTAAAGATCAGCAGTTCCAACCCCCTGCCATGAGCAGGGCTGCCACCCAGCAGATCAGGCTGCCGAGGGGCCCATCCAATTTGGCCTCGAGCACCTCCAGGGATGAGATATCCACAGCATCTCTGGGCAGCCTGTGCCAGCACTCACCACCCTCTGAGTGAAAAATTTCTTCCTAAAATCTAACATCAAAGTTTAAAGCCATTCCCCCCTGTCCTGTCACTAAAAACTGGGCCAAACTTCTGTAATAACTTCCGCTGGCACCAAGAGAACTAATATCCTGCCAGTTTTAAATTGTTAACTGAATCTTTATCAGCCTTAAAAATCCACTTTGGGCCGTAAGTTGATCTTGAACATTTTTTTTTGCAGAAACATGATTTGACATTCCAACTAAAATATAATTTATTTTGCAGAATGGCTTAATACTGCAGTGGCCCAGTGTGCTGCTGGGGTAAGTTCTGCTCCTGATTACAGAAACAAAATTCGTCACAAAAGAAATAACAATCTTAAAGAAGTGCACTAAGAAGGAATAGTTTAAGATCTTTTTGTAAACAGGAATTGCAACAAACTAAAATGAAGCTGTTTTAATAGTAAGTTTTGATTCTGCAGTTAACTACACTGGTTGCCAAAAGCAAATCTACTTTGACAGTTATGTCAAATTAGAAAAATATAGACTTACACCCTTGTAAACTCTGAAATTTAAGCCAATAATAACTTGTACCAGTTTTCATCTTTATCTTTTCCTCTTAATTCTCCTAATTGCAGACATATAAATCAAAAGATCTGGAATGATTTGTACAGAAATCCAATACAGGACACAGTCTGACATAGAAGTCTCACCATTTGTTTTTCTGGAGGCAAGGTATTTTAAAACCTATGGATTTAAAGCTCAAATTTAACAGTTTTATGCTGGATATCATTCATGCTGGATTATGCTTGTTTTAAAAGTATAACTAACTGATTTGCTTTCCTATGAGCTTTTTTTTTTCCTCCTGCTAAATGAAAGCCAAAATAAATATTCAATTTTCTGGTTAACAAATGTTTTGTGTCTTCTGGAACAGAGCACAATTCTAGTCTGACAGAAATTCTGAAATTTCCATTAACAGCTTTCGGTCAGCTTCTGAGGAAAAGAGTCACAAAACTGGGAACTGAGTAAACACATGCAGTGGTCAGAAGAATTAGTATGGATGATAGTGAAAAAGAGGGATGTCCATAATGAAGCTAAAATTTTTCTTGGAACAAAATAGAACAAAATTGGATGTATTATCATTACATTGCAGTACTCTGAACATATATAGTTATTGGATTTTTGAAGTACCTGACCAATTAAGCTGGAGAAGACAAAGACACCCAAGAAAAAATTCAGCAGTTGAAAGACTATCTCGAACAATGTTTGTGGCTCTGGAAGGCCACCGATGGTGATTAAAGTACGAACTGCCCAGTAGTAACACCTCAGGTACCTGTGGATACAGACAGAGATTTTGTTATCCACTGCAGGTTCTAATATGATTGAAACTAAAGATATACATGCCTGGGTTGGCCATTTCTGTGATGCCTTTCACTCCAAAAACCTTCAACATTTTTTATGAACAGTTATAATTTTAGAAATGATACAGTTACGTAAATCACATTGAATAGAATATTCTCACTGACAACAAAATGCAATATACAGTGAATGCATCAGTTGTTTCACATTCTCCAGTTACTTTGTGGAACAATGCAGAAGACTTCTAGAGGTGAAACTACCTGTGTAGAAATTACTGCATTAGAATTTGACCAGTGAAGATGCCAAGGAGTGGGTACACTTGAAGAAGCTTTGGTGTAGAGAGAGAATTGACAGATTTTATGAGTAGCAGACTAGATGCATGCATGTCTTGAAAGTGTCTTCCGTGGTTTCACTTGATTATGGCAGTGAGAAGCTTTGTGTTGTGTATGACAAATGAAATGCAGTCACCTAATTTTTCTGTCCCTTTATTCACGTTGCTTCTGAGTGGTCTTTTTTTGTCTCTACCTCCAATGTCATGTCAAACTGAAGCTACACATTCTCACAAGCTACATGTTAGTCCAGCTGCTCCAAATCTCTCTGTAACACAGCACCAAAAGATTGGCTTCTGCATTAACTTCTCCTAGTGGCTGCCCTCCACTTCCCTTTCTACCTCTCCAGTGAACATATTCTTGCCTTCTTCCCTACTTTCCCCCATTCTTGTGAAGAGCTATCCATCGCTACCCTGTGAACACCCTTCAAGTTTTTCTCAAAAATTCTCTTCATCTGGAGGCCAGATATAGCAGTTAGCAATGGTCGCTTATTAAGACTGTACTGCATCTTATGGGTTATACTGACTTTCTCTGTACTCATTTGCTTTATCTCACTTCCTGTCTCATGAGTGAGGCCTTTGACCAAACAGTTTTGTTCTGTTTGTACAGTTTTCTTTTTGGAGCCCCATACATGACAAGAACCTATTCCATTCAAGTTTATTAAAAAAAAGAAAAAAAAGAAAAAAAAGAAAAAAGGGCCTGTACAGAGTTCATTATTTGCATTATTTGGATTTTGTGAGAATAGCCATATTAAATTTGTATGTAAATAAATTGAAATCTCTATTACTCTTTTTGAAATTTCATGCTAAAGCATGGCACTATTAGTAGTGTAGCATCCTCCATAGTATGCATCTGGGGATTAATCAGTTTTGATCATTGCCACGAATGTCCTATTGTTTTCTTTTTTCCTGAGTGAACAAATAACTGTTGTAGGAAAGTTTCTCAATACCTCGCAATCATTACAATTTGACTTTATAAGTCTCTATACAATTAGTTTTCAACTTTTATAATGATTAAAAGTATGATTTCCTATCATTTCATTGATAACTGTATCTGAAAAAATCAGGATTCTCTCTATTTGTTGAAATTTGTTGAGTTTGAAATAAAAAAAAAAAAAAAAAAATCAAAACAACACACACAAAATAAAGGATCCCCCCCTGTCCCCTATTCCCTCCCCAAAATAAGAAAGAAGAAATTGTTAATGAGATGCATGTTTTGAGACAGTCTATTATGCATCTTCTCATGCATGCCTGGATTTTGAAGTCCCCTGATCTGATTGCAGTCTTCAGGTGTATATTTTAATTTGATGGTTCTCCCTTTAAATCCTTTCTTATTAAAATATGAACTCCACTCCTAAATGGTCCATCTAATAATACCACTGGAGGGTCAGTTTTGTGCAATTAGAAGAGAACGAACTCACAGTAACAACTAGTTCCAATGAAGAACGTTCCATTTTAAATCACTTGAAAGTGATTTAAAACATCAGAAGTGACCTAAAACATCAGAATTTACTAAGCAATTTTTTTATTGTTTTCACTGCAATCACATTTTTCTTGCTCTTGGATTTATGAAATGTGGTAGTGGTGATTATTTCTACTGTAGTCTTTGTGTTTTAGATTTTAACAGACAGAACTGGTAGTTTCCATTCAAAGTCTGTAAGTCAAAAATTCCTGGCATATATGTCATTTTTCCTTGTTAGAGATGATGAAAGGAGAACTAAATTACACCAGTACAAAATTTTCACTTAGGTTCAAAAATAGCATCACCTATTCATGCTTCAAGCAAAATATGTGTAAGAGGCAGCTTTCACTCTGAGTTCTGTAGCACAGAGAAAAAGGAAGAGCGAGCCTCAGATCTGCGATAGAAGAATTACAGATTTAGGTGTAAAATGATGTCTCTATCTTGTCTGAAGAGATTTGTCATATGGAGCAGGTTAATATATTCATTTGTTATAGCCATGAATTTTGTAGTGCTTGAAACAGGTAGAATTTATAAATATAAATATGGAAAAAATTTGCAGTACTTCTGTGCTAGTTTTATAGGAAATGAAACTAATTAACGAACTCTCTCATTCACAATGGCCTTGAATGCCAGGCTTGTTATATCTACCATGATAGTCCATGATATAATTTCCATTCTGGGCATCTCTACCTGACATGGAAGCAGCTCCCTGGGAGAATTCAGGAGCCCTCGCCATGCTTCTTTGCACATTCTCAGGATTTTTGCAGAACTGCCTACCTCTTTCTGAGGACATCATTAATGCAGAGCATTTTTCTGTTATTTTACTTCAAAAGAATTTTTCTACTAGCAAAGTGACATGATATTCACCATCTCTTAGGCACAGGTTTTATATCTTCTCTATTTATTTTACTGTTTTTGTTTTTTTTTTTCATCAGACATAACTGTTGAACAGTTGAAACGGAAGGGAACAAGTTTCCTGAGAAATTAGACTGTAAGATTTGTTTAGGGAATGACAGAAAAAAAAAAGGCTACAGCTTCAGTGGTGTCAGCAGTGTTTTTCTGCTTCCAGTGAACTAGAGAGTCTGGAAAACATCATTGCTTACCATACGGCTTACTTGACTGCTGTATGATTACTGTTAGAGCAAACAACCTGAGACAAGAAGGGGATTTTCCTTTTGCTCAGCACAGACAGGATGTTTATCCTTCAGGCAATCCAGCTTGTAGATTTTTTCCTAAAATAAGTCCTAGGTATGAAAAAGTTTAAAAATACTGCATTTAAGGTATCTTTTAATGTTACGCCAATGAAAATATCTTCCTTGTAAAAGTCTATTTTAGAATATGCTGAACTTTTTACATAGTTTTGGTTAATCTGACGGTTGTATGAAAATTTTGTTCATAGAGCTGTCAGATTTTAAGGTGGTATTCACACAGCTGAGTGAGGAATTATTTTAGGACTCCTCTCTGATTACAACCAGGACAGATTTGAAGTGGAATAGAAATTTTCTTAGGTGGTGTTCTAATAATGTCCTTCTTGATACCTATTTTTTCTTGAGTGACCTGTTTATCGAGTAATAGTGGGCATGATGAGCTCAGACAGTGAGGTGTAAACTACAAAGGTTTATATAAAATATAGCTACAGGCAGCAGGTCTGAAAGCATTAGATCTGACATCTATAAGGCTTGGGCTGAGCTTTCACATTTTTTTCCAGAGGCACAAAATGATCTCTATGGCAAATGCTGTGAGTGTGAGACCCTTCAGAGTTTTTGTAAGCAAGGTTTATTGCTGATGCGCACATATGCAGCATCTTTTACAACATCTTTTACAACAGTCTTGCTGCATGTTGGGTGGACACTACAAACCAAAAGAGTCGAATCATTTTAGGCACATACAGTGATCATGTTAGGATATTAGGAGAAAGTTTTTCACATAGAGAATGGTGAAGCACTGGAACAGGTTGCCCAAGGAGGCTGTTGATGCCCCATCCCCGGAAGCATTCAAGGCCAGGCTGGATGTGGCTCTGGGCAGCCTGGTCTGGTGGTTGGCGACCCTGCACACAGCAGGGGGGTTGAAACTAGATGATCATTGTGGTCCTTTTCAACCCAGGCCATCCTATGATTCTATGATGTTCTGGGATTTCCAGATACCTGCTAAGTTGCCTCAGAGCTGGAAGGCAGCAATCTATAGAGAAACATTATTAGTATGCAAATGGATGCTTTGATTAGTATTCATGCTGGGGAATTTTGCATTCCACTCATGGATGACTTGCAAACGGCAGAAGAGATATATTATGAGCAAAGTGAAATGATCTGTGCCAAACTTCCATGCTGAATAGACGGGGTTGCATGAGAATTTTAGCTCCCTGGGTTTAATTTTCCTTAGAGGCAATGGCAAGGGAGACAGATACGCCTGGGGGTCAATTCAGAACAATGACATTAGGTTCCTGCTTTGAATCACTTGCTAGAGAATTTGTTCATTTTCCCAAGGAATTAAACAAATCTCTTACATAGTTGAACCAGACTGAAAATAAACACATATGGTTCAAATTGTTCACTTATCTATAATTAAGGGACCTTTTCAATATCCTGTTGCTCTCTTCACATAAACTCTGCATTATGCTGCTGCATCTGTGATGATATTCACTTGCATAAGGAAGGACTGAAGTTTGTTGCCTAATTACAGGAAGTTCACCAAATGCAGTTTTAATGCAGGGAACATCTTGAGTGTCTGATTTGGGTTTGTTGCAGTGGGAGTAAAGCTTGGGTTTCAACATACCTGGGATTTTACAATACAGCATAAGTTAAATTGAGGTTTAAGACTAATTGTATACATTCACCACCAGTGAGGATGAGGTAGATTAATGGGAAATGTATGGGAATATATACTTGTGTATTTTATTTCATCAGCTCAGTTTAAAGACTTAAATTACTAATCTATTATTATTGTAAATAATAAATTCTACCATAAATCTCATGTGATTTCCGTGTAACATCATATGAAAAGTGTTTCTGTCTTCTTATGGAAAAGGTACCACAAAATGCTAAAACTTGACCATTGCCTCTGTGCACAATTGCTTTGTCTGTGGTCAAGCTAGCAAATAATTTCTACCAATTTTTCATATGAATGAAAAGTAGAGTATTTTCACTGTGAAAAATAAGAAGAATTTTCTGTTTTCTAGGCTGTTCTGAAAAAACATTAAAAGCTTAAATACTGAGTAAGCTCTCTACTTTGAGAGCCATCAGGTTGCTTAGTCGTAGTTATATTGATTTTTAATTAGGAGGAAAGTATTCCCAAAAATGACATTAACTGAAAAAGCTGTGAAAGAACTTCAATATGCATTTTTCTTGTGAGATATCCAGAATACTTGAGCATGTGAATAAATACCTGTGTATAACTTTACTTACCTAAGTGGCTCCCCTGAGCAACGTGGGCTGTGTTCAAGCTGTGTATTTTAGTTGTATGTGAAAACTTCAGATGTCTTTTTTTTTTTTGGTAGCAAGAACCCCAATTATAAAAAAATCAATGCTACTTTATACAAAATATGTTTTACTCCAAAGGCTGTTTTTCTTACCCTTCAAAACAGTGACTTCACATCAAAGTTGTGAAGCATAAAAAAATTTCAAGCAATAAGTGCATATCTCCAAGCTATTAACAGAGAAGCATGAAAAGTTGTTTAAAGGGTAATTTATGTCATCAGCAGTACATTACATGTGGTTTTGCAAATAATGTAATTTATGAACAAATTGAGCCTCTGTATCTTTAACTATTTTATGGTCTTTGAAAGAAATGTAAATTATTTCATGCATAGGAAGTTACTGTATATGATTTTATATAACTACACTCACAATATGTAAGGAATTTGCTTATTTTAATTTTGCTTCCTTTCCATCATTTTAATGAGTGTCCCTTATCTGGCACCCAGCCTTTTGCTGTCACAAGGAGTTTGTGAAAAGTGTGTCAAGTGTGTCAACACCCACTCCTTCCCACCGGGGACACTCCTTGCCACATGGTTAAGCACGTCCTTCTCCAAAGATTAAAGAAATCCAGTAGAATTTTTTTCAGACCAATCATGATGGTGTTTAGCAAAAATAAAATGTTGCATTTTAATGACACAGTGCTGTGTGGCAGAAAAAAAATCTGTGCCTCCAATTTCCTTGAGGTATTGTTCTGCCATCCTTTTAACAGTTCCCATGGGCACAGGCAATCAGTAACTTTAATTTATGGTCCTTGTCGCTTTCTAAATGTTTAATTAAGTTAGTGCTTAGTACTGACTCATAAACCTATAAAAGCTGAAAATAGTAAACCAATTATTCATCGCACCTGCCCTCCTAATATGTGTTAGTAATGAAAGCTGCTCTTCAGTAGACGTGGTGCTAAAAGTTAGCTACCCATGCACTTGTAAAGCAACACATACCCTGCGTGCAGTGTCATGGGGAAGGGAGGGGATGCAGGAAGGAGCAAAGCCAGGGAAAATTATTGCAAGAGAAAAGTACTTACATGTTTCCCTGGCCATCGTACACCCATCTGGTACTGCCAAGTCCTTCATAGTCTGAAGCCCAATAATACAAGCATGCATTAATGTGCAAGATAAACAGCAAGTATCCAGTGGTTCGAATGACCCTATAAAAGTCAACAGATTCCAAATTACAGATGACTGAATTCCTGTAAATAACTAGTAGTTTTTTCTCCTTTTAATACGGGACCTCTTGCTTTTTTCTTGTGTAAACACTGTATATACTAAGCATCTACTAAGTAGCTCCCCACCTGTGTTTACTCTGTGAAAAAATAGCAAGCAAAAAATCCTGTCTCTCATGTTTGTCCAAGGTCAAATGATATATTTCCTAGAATGTTTGACACGGGATCATTTTTAAATTATGGTTTCCTGAAAATTTCATAATCCACTTCTTTAACTGGCTATGAAACTATATTAATGAGGCTGGAGGGTACAAATGTCTCTGTTTGCCAAATCTATTCAAGATAGGCTCCAAATCTGTGAACCAGAGCCCAGAAATGTCTGAGGTCAGAAATGAAATGCTTTACAAGAGCTTTGCTAGGAAGCCTACAACAGATCCGCTAAATGGTATGATTTAGTGGCTACAGCAGGCATTATATCATTCCTAATCCCAGTTCTTATGCTTATGGATGGTTCTTCAAATAACACCAGTGATGAACTACTTAAGCAGTGAGTGGCTTTCTATTTAATACAGTAATGATCTCATTGTATATCCTCTGTTCAGTGCTGGGGATCAAAAGGAAGATCTCCTGGACCTAGCTTTCCACTCAAACATTCACGTATCCAAGGGATAAATAGGAAGAAAAGCACAGGACTTGCCTAAACACACACAGACTGCTCTGTACTGACTGTATCCACTAAAGCTAAAGGCAGTACAGTTTGAATGTATAGTAACTGAGACAGTGTTTAAATGAAAATTTAATAAATTCTAGTTGAATTAGGTCCATAAAGTTAACAGGAGATCCTATTTTTGTGGTTTCCTCAGTAGAATGCTCCCCTTTGCTTGTTCTTCTGGTGCCACTGCACGCCCTCCTTTGCATCTCCATGCCACTGAGCAATCTACCTCTGATGTGCACTCTTTTTTAGGATGCAAGCAGGCGCGTGCCATTTCTCTGTTCAAATGTTGGTGTGATTACAGTACAGCTCTGTGTAGGACTGTAAGCTGTTAAGAACAGAAGATAGCTGACATAATCTACCAGTATTACAATACTGACCATGCTGGATCTAGTGCACCAGTTTGAATACAGGCAGGTGAACTGAGGCCTGAACAAAGATTCTGGAAGCCCTTCACACTATGCATATTGTAATTTATCTGGGCAAGTACCAAATCCAACATAATGGGTAGATAAGATGTAATAACGTTTGCTATCTCTACTCCTACAAACTTAAACTGGTGAGTTTGTGAAAAGAATAAGATTTTTCAACCTCCTTTTTGATTTTCTACGTTACACAAAATATCTCATTTGCAATGTATGAATATCAAGTCTGCAAGCATAATAATTTTTGAAATAAAATAAGATGTTAGTCTTTATTTTAATAAGATGGTGGTATTCATGTTGCAGAAGCACAAAGGAGCACACCCTGTCCCACGCCTGAGACAAAGATGAAAGAATCACACAGGATAATCTAGGGCTGGTGACACTATTAGTAGCTGATAGGATTAGTGGAAGAGTAGATGAATTGAGTCCTAGCAACACTGCTGAGGCAGCTGTGAAACTTGCCATATCCATGCCCACGAGTTGCCTGAATTGGAACCAAAATTCTGGGAAATACAGAATGCAATAGACAACAATTATAAACACTGTTTGAGATCTGTACTGAACTGATTCTCATTCGAAGTTTGTAGTGAAGGATCAAACTTCCAGGTTCATGGGGAGAGCCTATTTGAAGAAAAATTTTGACATAGGCTCAAGCTCATGACTTTTACTAACTACAAATAAAAAACTACAAAGGATTTGGCACTGCTATCAGAAACTTTACAATGCCATTCTTTAGCTCTTTAGCCAAAGAAACTTCTGCCAGATTGTTCAAATAAATTAAATTTTGACAGAAGCCTCAGGGTGGTGAACTTCTCACCTGAAAATAGCCTCTATACTTGAGCAGGCCAGTTGAGATGGACAGGATTCCCTATGTGAATGAAGCTTTACATTTATCATTTGAATGATTACAAAAAAGATAAAAAGATTTTTTTTTAAATCTTAAATGGAACTATTAAAGATGTACCAAATTCCATCCTGTACTTCACTGGCAACTTATGAAATCAAACAGAAGATGTTCTGTGCCTGGGTTTACGTGGTATAAGTATTTAATGAGCACATACCTGTAGATATATGCTTTGTCCAGGATAGCTTCCAAACGATCATTGAACTCAAAGAATGTGTTATGCTGAATGGAAAAGAAGTGAAAGTAATCCAATCACTCTCCTCCATCCCACATCTTTTTCTTGTAGTATTGACAGTTGTTCACACACATATTCTAAAAATGTAATTTGCAGCAGTCTAATTTTCTTTATAAGTTTATCTAAAAGATGAACTGCAAAGCAAAGGGGCAAACTGAATAAAAGAATGAATAAAAGATTTCTGTTGATGAATGACTTCTGCATCCTGAAATGGATATTTGAGAACCACCCTGAAAGTAATGCCTCTTATTTTATTATGTTAACCCACAATGTTGGAGACAGAATTTGGTGGTATGGCAGTAGTGATTGAACCTTCTTGTCAATATTCATTACATTTTATAGCTGTGTGACAGATGACAGCAGTGGGGCAGTCTGACAACATGATATCTGGTGTGGAAGTGTTATGAAGCAAATGTGCTGAATTGCTGAAATTGAGATAAAACTGAAACTGAATTGCTCCATGAGATAAAAATGGCACATATTTGACATTCATTGATGCTTGCTTAATGTTTATGGAGACCAAAAAGTGGATGTAAGCACAGTGAGGCTGCGGGTGGTGTATTTAAGAAGTGGCAACATTGGCAGTGGGTCACCTCACTGGTGCAGATTTTTATGAGCATGGCATACAGGCTCTTCTTCATTGCTGGTAAAAATTCATAGTTAATGGTAGTGTGTTGGAAAACAGTGTTACATAGCTGAGAATTTGCTCTATCAAATAGTCTTATTGTTCTCTTTGTATCTGTTGTATTTTCCACATAAATGTATAGGAGGCATTACTTTCAGAGTTCAGCGTGCCCTACACCATTGCTTGGGCAGCTTCATCAGAACCAATACAGGTATAAAAATCCTATTTTTCTGAAATTCCAATAATTATCCAGTAAGTGATCATGTGTATCATCATCTGTATGTCAAATGGTACCACACAGTAACAATTGCTGGTGCATTTTTACCCTTATTTATAGCTCCTAATATTCCCATGTTGCTTTGTTGTTGTTATTCAAATTTGAATTGTTCAAAAAACAATTGAAATGTTCAAAAAACATACTTTCACCTTGTGACTACTATCAATAATAGTTTTGGATGTGCATACTCAGTATTTGTTTGTGACTGTGACTGCAGAGACAGTTTTACCAACAGAAAGTAAAAGACAATGGCTCCAAAGTCACATTTAGCCATTAAAATGGGGAAGGGAATTGTGCAAAGTCTATCATAGCACAGAGAGCTCAAGAAGGGTTTGTGCTTGCCTGCAAGGAACATGTTAACCCATACAGTGGTCTGTTAAGTATCATGAAAGGGAGGGAGAGGGCTGCTGTGTAGCCCCACCTCAGCCTCTCCATTGCACACTCCACATCTTTGGAGTCTATAACAAAATTGTGTTTATGAATTTTACATATGCTGTGTACAGTTTATGCTGTCCTTAAAATTCACACGCATTCACACAGAACCTGACATTACCATCAGAAGGAGAAAATACTTTGGCATTAATTCGTGATGTAAATGAATGTTTTGGATCTTTGAAAACTAAGGATGTAATTTATGATTAATCAAATTCAAATAATGAAAATGAATCAGTGTTAAGCACAAAACACCTTTAGAAAGTAGGAAATAATGAAGTCACAAGAAAAATAAGAGAGTAAGGACTTTGGTTGGCTAGACTATATCTTGACTTGTATTCTTTGTTGTTTATTTTATTGATGTTGCATAGACTCAGGTGATTCCTGAAGATATTTTCTAATTTCTAAGCTCCGTATTCCTAAATATTATAAACAACCTTTCACTGACTTAGAAGCATTTATGTGTGGTTAGTCATCTATCACTAATGCAGAACTTACCTTTAGCATCCTGTTTACTCTAAATGCTGGGTTGAATCCAAAGAAAAAGTATAAAACGTCAAATGGCAATACTGATATCAAATCGAGCTGTTGAAGAGCAAAGAGATCGGTTTAAACTCCAAAATAATTGTAATGCACTTACTTGCTGTCAAAATCCTATTTAGATTAAATCATGATTGAGTATAAAATTTCAACAGTCAGCATGCTATGCCTGTAACTTCTAAAGTACTGGAAGGTTATCTCTTTGGAAACAGCAACAGTTTTGCTCTGGCCTACTTTTAAGCCTCTCGTGTCTGAGATTTTCACCTGTTTCATGGGAAATACTGACAGTGTCTCGGATGTTTGGCTATTAATACATTCTGTTATTTCAACTATGGTTCTGACAAAACTGAAACGACAGACATGAGGCTGGGAAGCACAGGTGTAGAGAGCAATCCACATGAAATTTCTACAGCTTTTAAAGCCAGGATGCATAAAGCAGTGTGAGAGCATGGTGAATTAGATTCTTTGCTTGCAGCCTGCAAAAGCCATCTGTTGCACACAAAATATTCATCATGGGATCATAGGATCTCGTTACTATAAGCATTATTATTATTATTACTGATACTGGTTTCTGTTGTATTTGGATGTTTTTCCTTTCCATATCATCTATAGATGTTGTACTTACTGATGTGTTTTAGTGGTCAGTGCTGGTGATATGTGGATGGTTCAAATAGATGATCTTAGAGGTCATTTCCAACCTTAATATTCTATGATTCTATGAATTTCATTAATTTTATTTTATCAAATTATTATTATTTAGAATTGCATTTGTAATCATTATGTTTTACAATTAAATACTACTTATAATTATGAAGCAACACCATCTTCAGATAGAAGAACTAACATGCCATCAGCTCTAAGCTTTCTGCTGACTTTTTAAAATCAACTGTGATTTTCAGGGAAAGAAAAGATCCCATGGAATCCTTCTGACAGAAACAACAATATTGACACCAGTAATGAAGGATCTGCTTACCCGAAACTTTACAGTGCTGTGATAGAATTTCTTCATTTCCACTTTGTCTGACTACAGCGATGATGGAAAGAGAAAAAAGCAGTCAAGAACCACATGTCAAGAATGATCTTTGCTACTCTGCAGTAAGAATAATCTTCTAACAATAAGGTTTTTAATATTCCCATTAATGATGGTCTGAAAGAATGAATGGAGTAATATCAATTACTTCAATGAAGAAATAGTATTTTCATTAGACTAATTTTTCCTTAAGCTAAATTTTATAAGACATTGGGGTTTATATGTTTTTTATCCAAATCTGAGTTTTTGTCTAATGAAGTATGCTTTATTTGCCTCTTCCCTTTCAAAGTCTTTGTACCAGATGTTGCTTGATCCAATACTTTTCAATTTTGGGGCCAAAAGAACTTTTTGACATCAGTAGTTTCTAGAGAAATGCAAAGAATGATTATAATAGAGCTATACAGAATTAGCTCATTGAAAGCCAACATTAACATACTAGCATTGTAAGCATTATAATAATCAACGTTGCATTCATTAGTAATGATTAGGCATTTGTTTTTAAATTACTGTCCTTTGGAACTGATCTTGATACCTTAATAAGAAGGGCTAATCACAAGAGCAGAGAAATGTATCTATTATTATACTTACTGAATTTATACCAGGAACACTTTAAAAATAGCCTTAAAATCTTAAAGATATTTCCATTCTGACTTTTTACTATCACCATTTTAGGCATTATACTAAAAACCAGGCGATCCAGCAGAAGATGATCTCTTCACTCACTAAAATCTTTGAATTGTACAGCTTCAGCTGTTTTATTTCAGGGAAATTGAAGGTTAGCTTCCTCCATTACAATTTAAACCTTGTTCATAAAACTTGAGTTTTTTAGGATTTCAGCAAGATTACCAGTTTACCGAATGGCTAGGCATGGAAAAATACGTTGCACTGCATTCAATATCTATCTGCACTTTATTTATGTAGCTCTATCTGAGGTTCCTCTGTAAATGTATTAGCAATTTCTTTTATGCACAATATATAGAGTTCTACATAAAAGCAGTGAACTAAATCTAATTCCAAATTGATTTTGAATATATATAATTTTGAATTTTTTGTTTATTGGGCATAATAGTCTCACACTGAAATTCTAAACTCATTTGTTCTGTGATTTGGTTTTCTTCTATAAGATGTTAAAGAATAGAAAGTAGGAAAGATATTTAAGAAAAGCTAATGCTCTATATGCCCTATTTATATGTTAAAGGTAAGCCTTTACCATTTTTCAGGCATGTGCTTATGGTTTTATTTTGCGTTATTCTGTAAAAAGATAACATAAAACAAAAGGCAGAATTGTTTATAAATATGTATATTCCCCCCTATAAAGATTTCAAATAAATAATTGTTTAAATATCCTGAGATTGCTTTTGTAAAATCTTGCAATCTCACAATCAGTAAGAAAACATTTACATCCTGTCCAGCTCTAGCAGAACATGTGATGTCTTCATCTGTGATTCCTGAACAATGTGAATGAAAAGTTGAATGTTTCACATAAAACATGTCATATGCACATATGAGCATCTAATCCTAAAATCACTCATTCCAATAGAGGTGCACCTATTTACTCCTGGTAAGAAAGCACCTTATGCTTATTTTGCCTGTTGCATCTGTTATTCTCTAGTCTGTTCTACTATTTTTAAGAACTTTGATATGTAAAATTCCAATGCTTGTCTAGAATGCAGCCCAAAAGATATGCTTTCTTCTTCCAAAACTGAATAATAAAAGGTCAGAGAAGATGAATATAGGTATACTTTGCTAACCAAAAAAGTTGTGTAGATTTGACATATTAGTAAAAATCTTAGCAGATTTCTATAATGTACTTCAATGCATAGTCACTACCCGTGGAAATCCCACTTCCAATACTTACTATTATATCTCCACCTCTTAAAAATTGCACTCGGGGCTGGAAAACCAGCAGGTCACACAGGTAGCAGATATCACAGATGATGTCTACAGCAAACCAGTATATTGTATTACTTGGAGTTTGATATGGAAACACACAGCGAAGGGGGATAAACCAACAATTCCAATTATAGGCCACTGTCACAAGCATGAGCCATGCTACGTAACGGCGATCTGGAAGACAGAACATTGCATTTACAGACATGAAATCAGAGTATTTTCTTAGTCCTTTAGACATAGTTACATTAATGCAGTATTTGGGAACTTTCCTGCAGAGAGAGCTACTTATAATTATCCCTTTTTTAATTAGCACAGGCTGATAAAGTGACACAGCTTGAAACTAAGAATTACATTAGGAATTGCAAAAGGGTAAAAAGAAGAGTTTTTCAGAGCATTTAAAATTTAATACATCTGAAAAATCTGAGAATGTTTTGTTGGTACATGCTATAACATGTACAACATGTATAACAAGAATTAAGTGGCCATAATGTATGGGACAGAATCTAGATCAAGTGACACTGAATATTGACTGTAGTTGTTTTATACACCAACTTTGTGGCAATAGAGAAATTGCTCTGTCTTTCCATATCTTTACTACTCTCATCAGTTTTCATTCTTTTCCCTATTTGGAATTAAATTTCTTGAGGGTACCATGTATGTGTGCCTCTGAATTGCAAACTAAAATGTAGATCGTAGTTTGGCTTGAAAGTACAATGTAAAACTGAATCACTTCAGCATGGTTTTACCCCATTTTAAAGCACAGCTTTTAATTTACCTGTGTATGAATCTATGCTGTCTGGTAGCTTTAGATAGGTCATGTACTTTTTCAGTGGAGGTTTTTTGAATTTACAGCACAGCATATCACAGTAGTGATCCTCTTCTGGCTTTGCTTCTGCTTCCTCTTTCTTATCTTCTTTCTTTTCTTCTTTCTTTTCTTCTTTTGGTGGGGGTGGAGGCTTCTTCTTTGATGGTGCTAGTGACATAGAATGCCACAAAATGTGAGATTTTAACAGTGGCTTAATTTACAATATCCTATTTTAACAAATACAAGAGCCTCATTGTATTAAAAGACTCTTCTAAACACACTTGACAGTGATTAAAGTTACAATTTATTGTAATATTGAGTGCATTAGAAAGCATATTGGAGGATAAAATAACATTTGATATAATCACGCACATCTACTATCACTAATAGTGATAGTCATACTAGTAATAAAATCACTGGTAATAATACTATCACCCAACTTCATGTTGAGTGCAGTATATATGTCACTGCAGTTCCTTAGGCTGTGCCCAGAACAAGTGCCATAAAAGACTGAAGTAATTCGTAATTCAGCTTTCATTAATTCACCTGTGCATTTCTTGTTATATGATTGTTGCATATAATGTGTACAATTAGGATGGAGATAAGAAAAGATATCACTGCCATAGGCAGAGCTCTCCCCTTGTGTGAGATCTGAAATGCATGACACAGCAGGTGAAACGAATGGGAAGCCTATGATTTTGTATATTTCTAAGGTGAGAAAGCCTAGTGTCATTCCTTTGAGTTCCATTCTTCCATGTTATGCTGGATAATTTTGCCCACATATTTTTCCAGTTGATTCTGGTTGCTTTACTTCTGAGTAGGCTACATAATCTTAGAAGCAAATTTAAGAAGTGGATCGATAGTGATTGGAAAGAAATAATTGTGAGTTCTATGAGAGGAACAAAAGAGATACATGAGCAAAGAGTAATTAAAAAAAAAAAAAAGTGGAGTTCTTCTATTCATTGATACAGTTCATTATACTTCTGACACTATTTTTTCTAGCTTATTAAGAACTAGATAAACAATAAACATCTCAAAATGGCAGAACATCAAATCGCCACATTTGAATCTTTGTGAAAAAGAAATAAAGTAAAACAAACTTTCCTCTAAAGAGGAAGAGCATTATATTTGTTTGATGTTTCATATTTTATCTAAAGTCAATGTTGAATGAATTTCAGATGAGTTTGTTCTGTTTGAAATGCGTGACTGGAGTCCTCAGTGTATCTGGAAGATTGCTGTCTTGGATAAAATATTGTATACTTTCACACAACAGATCTAATCTCAAACTGACCTGTATCTACTAGTAGGTAGATATGTTTCCTCATAAATTTTAGATTCATCATAATGAATAAAGATATCTGGGATCTATTTTAAAACATATAAAACTGCTTGACAGAGCCAATTCTAGACATTGTCAAAAATTTTCCCTCAAATTCTGCAGTGATGGGGTTAAAAAGGAACTTTTACCATGGGACCTGGCTTACAGCAAATACTTACAGATAACTTGACTTCACTGGGCACAAACTGACCTATTTCAATGAGTAAATGTGATGTGGTAAGGTAAACACTGAAAAATTTTATCACAGCATTTTCTGTTCCAGCAAAAGAATTTTCTTTATACTCATCAGATGCACAACTATTTCGTGTATTCTAGAGTCACTTACAAGCTGTAGGACTGCCTTCAGGGGAGGACAACACGGGGTCTTTTAGCTTTTCCTTATAGGCTGTGGTCCTTTCCCGCATTTTTCTGACAATCTCCTGAAGCTGGGCATCAGCATATTCATTTGTTTGGAATCCTTGGGACGTTGTGTTCTGTGTTCTATTTGAAACAGAAAGAGAAAAGTTCTATGTGGTGGAAAGGTATGGAAGAAATTGTGCTAATTCTACCGTACAAGCAGTAGTCAAACATTAAGACTGGATCTTTATTGAACACAGTGGTTATTCATATCATTTAATTCACTATTAGGTGATCACATAAGTTAACTTATGTTGCTTTCTGTTTATGTCCATTGACACTGCTGGATACTTGCAGCAGTCTACAAGATAATGCAAGCAGAGAAGGTGAGGATACTCTATACTCTGTACAGCCTACTAAACACATGAATTCCCACCATTATTTTTCACTAAATTCTTATTTGGCTTCCTAAGGCATAGAGCTTATCCTATGTATTGTCTAAGATACAAAGCATGTTCCCATCTGTAAAATAAAATGTGATCATTACTATGCTACATCCAGAAGATGACAGGACATAATTGAGTCACAGACTCTGATGCAGTGGTGCAGGTGGAGAGAATATGCCAAGTTCATTTTTTTAATCTAGGCTTTTTTATGACTTTTAGCTAAATGTAGGTAAAAAATATCTCTTTTTAGCAACTGAAAACAAAATAATGATCTTGCTAAAAGTTCCTCTGCCATTAAGAGGTCACTTACTCTGTGTTTACTCAGATGTGGAGTGACACTAAGATAACATTCCAGCATTTATCATTTCATCAGGCTTGGAGACCTTTAATTTTTAAGCACTTGCACTCACAAATTCTGCAGTGACACAATGATTTTAAACAGATCTATACACACCAAACAGCTGATTAGAAAATCTAGCTGAGAGTATTTTTTGTTTGATTCCTTTTGAGGGAGCTGGGATTGTTCAGTCTGGAGAAAAGGAGGCTCAGGGGTGACCTTATTGCTCTGTATAAGTACTTGAAGAGAGGTTATGATGTAGTGGGGATCCACTTCTCTCATATAACTAGAAATAGGACTAAAGGGAATGGCCTCAAGTTGTGCCAGGGGAGATTCTGGTTGGATGTTAGGAAATATTTCTTCTCTGAGAGAGTGGTCAGACACTGGAATGGGCTGCTGGTGGAAGTGGTGGAGTCACCAATCCTGGAGGTGTTCAAGAAACTTAAATGTTGTGCTGAGGGACATGGTTTGGTGGGAATTATTGGTGACAGGTGGACAGTTGGACTTGATGATCTTGTAGTGATTTCCAATCTTGGCGATTCTATGATTCTATGATTTTGTTCTGTATCCTAGACACAACATTTTTCAGCTGGCGTTCCACAGCAGTGTCAGAGACAGCTGGAGACAGATGTGATTGGTGCAGTGCACCTGGTGGTCTATTCCCACACTGGTTGCAGCTGCTTCATCTGTACTGAAATCCTGCCAGCTATGCTCAATATGGTGAATACAACAGACTACTGTCTTTTCTTTCTTAACAGTTTTCCAGCTCAGTATCAAATACCATGGGGATGAGAATGCTACAGTAAGAGAAGCAGCTGATGAAGAGTGAAGCAGACATGAAATTTCCCATTTTTGAAGACCTTTCCAAAGAAAAATAGAGGGAAAGTGGCATGACAATATCTTGGAGAATGAAGAAGTGAAAAATACAGCAGTGATCTTTGAATAAACACCACATCTCCTCAACATTTAAACTTACTTTTATGTTCCTAACAGAAGGAGCTGTAACTAAAAAAGGAAAATGTCAGAGCTTTTTGAGAATCACAGTTTTCTGGAGACACAACACATATCAAGTTGCCCAAAGAATTATAATTTAAGGATGTGAAAATGCTACAGCAATAAAACCACTGGATAAAATGAAGATATGTCATTAAAAGCAGAAAAAGCACAAGTCTGAAGTATGTGCTTATCATTTCTCTAATTTAAGACTTCTGTAGATTCAGTTTCTTAAAACTCCCCAGACAGGAGATTAATCAAACTGTTCTAATACACTTTTTCATCCCATCACGTTTTATTTTATTTCGCATATTCCCTTTACCCTGGCCATCTGCAGCATAATGAAATGCTTTCTTATTTTGAGCTAACATGTCACAATTAGTTTTACAGCTTCTATGCAAGGAATTTCAAATAGTTTCTACTCTTCTCTGTTGCTGTATTTGCCCAAGGCATTAGCCATTTTATAAAAAAATACACTTATCAGAAGTGTTGTGACAAAGGCCCCTGCTATCTGCTTTTGAGGGAGAAGTCAAAAAGATATGTGGGATTTCTTCTTGTTTCCCAGCTTCTCCAAGACAAGCTAAAGTCTTCTTTATCATAAACATGGAGCTTTATCTCTGCAGTATAGCCCAAAGGAATCATGTTGTTATTTGGGAATGATTAGAAGATCTAGAAGAATCTGTTTAAAGCTATTTGCCACACAGTTGATAAGAAATTGATTTTCCTTGCCACTTGATTTACATGATTTCTTCCTCTATTACTTTCTAGTAATGAGATGCTTAAATTTTCTGTGGTTAATACAAATGGAAAAGACTAGAAGTTGAACACTGCTGATTTGAAGGTGTGATTTGTGTGTGTACTTCTTGTGAAGTGAAGGTACACTTGAAACTACCTTGGCTAAAGAAGCCCTTTCTAACTTCTCTCTCTCTCTCACATTTAGTGGCACATGCCATGAGTAGGTGATGCCAGTGCCACATGGCTACCTGTCACTGCATGTTGTGCTCTGGGTAGAAACTGGGGCCTGGAGCAGTACCTCCAGCCTGCCCTCAGATCAGTTCTCCAGCAGAGTTAAGGTGCTTTCCTCATTTCATTTGGAGATGTTCCTTTCACTGTGTGTGTGCTCTTTAATACGTATGCCTTTTATAGATGTTTTATAAATTCTTATATATAAGAACATATCTGCCAGTAGGACAAGGATGAGCAGCCATCAGGAAGAAGAGCATATTTTCTGGGTATGAGAGCCTTCTAAAGTTGTTCTCTGCTTTGAAGAGACCATATTCAATAAGAGTAATTAGTTCATCATACTGCATTACAGTATTTTCTGATTCCAGTTTGCTACGACTCAGATATTTTGTACCTGTGAGAAGGGCTAGTTTGACTTGATGGTTGGACTAGATGATCTTAGTAATCTTTTCCAACCTTAATGATTCTCTGATTCTCCGATTCTCCGATTCTATGACTTATGCTTTTAACCTCCTCTGTGAAGGAAATAATGCCTCATTTGAATATGTCATCAGATTCATTCTCATCTCACAGATGCGATTACAGACTGTATTGATTTCGCACTGGGCTCTTTCTGGCTTTATTCTGTACATGAAAGTTTTCAGAGGGTGAATAGGCTTGTGATATTGACCAGTTGCTTCTTTCCCTCTGCCTGTATTACATAGTTGAATATTTTGTGCTATGCAGGAGCAGATTTGCAGATTCAGAGGCAAATCTCCTTCCTTACTGGCACACTGCCTAGCTGGGCAGAAAAACACTTCTTTGCTTTTCTGTGCTGAGCTGTGCTGAATGCAAGGGTTTGCCTCTAAGTTGATGTATTATTCTTTAAGCAAATTTATCTACGACCTTTATGCAGTGTTTTACATTTACTAGACCTATACTTACAAAAGTATGTATCCCTTTACAGAGTGGAAGTACCTTCCAGAAGTAGTAACTTCACATGGCCCAAGAAATGGAAATTTAGGACTAGAGGGAATGGTTTCAAGCTGCACCAGGGAAGATTCAGGCTGGATATTAGGAAATACTACTTCTCTGAAAGGGTGGTCAGGCACTGGAATGGGCTGCCCAGGGAGGTGGTGGAGTCCCCTTCCCTGGAGGTGTTCAAGGAACGTTTGGATGTTGTGTTGAGGGATATGGTTTAGTGAGAACCATAGGTGATAGGTGGATGGTTGGAATGGATGATCTTATAGGTCTTTTCCAACCTTAGTGATTCTGTGATTCTGTGATTCTGTATCTCATGTATTAGGCATGTGACTTCGTTATTACCTCAAACACGTTTTGTTTAGCAATAGCAACATATCTAACGATAGAATTATAGTAGAAATGTATTTTTGAGACATGGAAATATATATAATGTTAGAATGATAACAATAATGATTTTTTAAAAGTATTTTTATCTTGTAGGTTTTACCTTGATGTAATTCTCCCCAAGTGAAGAAAAAATATTTAGGCACCTATAGTACAGCAGAAGAAAAAGGCCTTGAGAGAACAGGTTATGGAAATGCAGCACAGAGTGTGCTAATGTATGTAACATCTTTTAAGTACTGCAGCTTTGAATCTCTCTGTGTTAAGAGTTCAAACAATACAGGAATCAAAATACAATGGGTGATTTTAGAATAAAGCAATTTTAACCTTTACTAGTTTGCAATCTTGAGTTTAATTCTTTTCTGCTTTTTGGCCATGAATACCAACTACTGAGTTCAACTTCCTCTTTTATCTACCATGTCACCCCATAGTGTATGAAATACTATGATAATGTATTTCATAAATGCATGCACTCTGAAAAGAACCAACATATTTCTTTCTGCTGAATTCAGTTATAATCCTTCTCTTTACATCACTTAAGAAACTTTCTCCTGTCTATCTGGGAATACAGTTCTTGTTCTTGCAAGAGATTCTGTTTTTACTGAGCACTGACAAAAACCTGTGTCTTAAATAAATAATTTCTTGTCTTGAATAAATTATGTAGAACCTCTATTTCAAATAACCAGTTTTCAGAAGAGACAATGCAAAGCTGCACACATGTCCACAAACCACAATAGTATAGCTGAGAAAGATTTCAGCGTGACAGAAAAATGTAAATCTGGTCATCATGAAAGGTATTGATTCAAAGTCATCTTCAACATGCAATATCAAGTCCACTGTGGGTAGAGTTATAGAGACCAGAATCCTACCCATATCTACTCTCATTTCCAACTTTAGTTGACTTAGGAAACCTCATGGTTTTCTCCCACTTTGACGTTAGCTATTCTGCTTAAGTTTTCTTCATAGTCAGTAGAAAGCTTCTCTGAAGAGATATTCATAATAACTAAGATGCTTCTTAGGTGTTTATGAAAGGAGTCTATCCTCCTTTGCCTTCACAGGTA